ACCATTGGCCGAGGGGGGGGGATACGTTTTTTATTGTCTTTGTGAACAAAATATCTAGTCCAATTTTACCATATTATTTGTTTCACCAAAATTTAGAGGATTTTTTCATGGACATTTTTCCAATAAAAATCTTTTTTTTTATAAAAATGGATATGTAGCTGCCCCCCCCCCCTAAGTCTTAAATTGGAATGGCAATATATATATATATATTTTTTTTTTATGTTATGGCATAACGTCAAATGTTAACCTTTGCAATACAGTTGTTGAACTTACAAGTGGCGGACTGTGTTTTTTTTTTCACTCTCCAAACGAACATGATCGAAAATAGGTTACAACAGTCGGGTGTCTCCGACTCAACACACCGAGTTGGCAATGACCAATGAATATTTGGAATTCGGGTAAAAATACAACGTTATAATTAGAAAACGAAAGAAAAAAAACGAAACTCGACAATCCTATAATATTATGTTATTATTTATTGTGTTGTTTTTTTTTTTTAATTTTATTTTTATTTACAAGCGCAGCTGGACACCGTAAAGCCGACAGCCGTGTTCCATAACACATATGGAAAACATGATAAAAAAAAAAAAAAATAGTAATATTATTTATATTAAATGGTACAAAGTTGATTTATTCGGGACACGCCCGGATTTGGCTACCGTCTAGGTCTTGGTTATTGGCTCCTTTTAGGAATTTTCAACGTTTTCTCAAAGGTCTAGACTGGCTGAACTCGATCCTAACCTAACCTGGGACGCTGCCATGTTGTTTACCGTTTCATGGAAAGTAAACGTTACTTTTCCATGAAATATGTCAAAAAATCAGGCACTAAACTAAACTAGATTGCTAACTATATAGCGATAAGAATGGTCAAAGTCGATGTCGGCCGATTTTGTGGGATTTATATTGTGTTTATGTAATAATATAATCATACATCTGTGATTTTGGCGTTATCAGCTTAGCAGTGATACACATATGATAAGGTGATAATTCCCACAATGATGGCGGAAAATGATATCACCGTCATATCAGTGATAACAGTTATACACATATGATAAGGTGATAATTCCCACAATGATGGCGGAAAATGATAACACCGTCATATGTATATTTGATGAATCATAGAAAAAACAATAACTGGTTAAAATGTATTTTTTTTTCTAAAACCGCAATTAAATCGGTTGTGACCGCTCACGAAGAACAACATCAGTTGGTTGTAATAGTAATTATAGTGTGTGTGTTCTCTTGTATAAATACTTAAACATCTACTTTTAGTTTTTTAATTTTTTTTTTTAACCCCAAATCTGTTTATAGATACACAACAAATAATCTATGGTAAGTACAGATCTAGTTGAAATTTCAATATAATTCTGTCAAAGTTTATAAAATTTAGTAAACCGACCTTGAACTAGGTGTATACATTTTCATAGTTTATAACTTGTATTTTATACAGTTCAACTAATATTATGTCCTATACTACAAACCGTACATAATATAACTAGTTGGTATTAATAATAATTGTAAGTAATAATTTACTTTTTTTTACGAACTCGGTTGACATTTTTACTGCAGCATCCAAACATGGTAATAAGTACTTGTAACTCTCCTTGAGTAAAACGTATACCTAATAAAATAGTGTCGATAAAATTAAAATTAAGAGTTTACTTGAACGAAAAAAGCGAGTATCAAAAATTGTACTTGAAGAAGTCACTCTTTTTTTAAATATTTTTGTCACATGATTAAACGAATAAGAAAAAGATTAAACGATATAAATAAGATTTTTTTAAATAAATCCAAAACAGGTATGCACAAAACTTTTATATTATTTTTTTTTTTTGTTATTATCACGGCTGTTAGGATTCTACCGGACAAGATTATTAAAATATGTTATGTTATTATTACAACAATACAAAACATTATCTATTCGCCTCGGACGAGATTAGGTATTATTATTTTTATGGGATTTAGGTTTTTTTTTTTTTTTTTATAAATTTCAAACGGTACAAACACACACAGCGTTAAGGCGGCCAATAATTTAATCGACCATTACCACTCACTATATCATGGAGAGATAATGTGACGGTTTTGCTATGGAAATATCAATTATTTATAAATAGAACATGCCGAGGAACGTTGAAATGTTCATTTGCCGTAATATAATATATACACCCCAACGTTTTTTTCCACGCATTTCGGTTCGGTGATATCAGCAAATAGCAATTATTACATACAGAAGCGTTTACTCGATAAAACAATAATATACAATTTCTCATGTTTTGGGCCAACAAAACACTCAACAAAAACGGTCAAATGGTTTTAAGCGTTACATTTTCAGCTATAGTTATTAAGAATCGGTTTTAAACAGTTTTGAATTTGGTACTTTCAAACGTTTGTGTACTAACTTGGCACGAAATTCGTCCAACCTAACCTCCTAACTTGACCATAAAACTTGTCGCAGCTGTCAGATTAAATATCAATTACTTCTGTTTGTTTAGATTTTTTTGAAAAGCCAGTATAAAACGACGAGTAAAGTTTTAGGGTCTAGTTAAAATAATTAATTATTTATGTTCAAATGTATAACAAAAAAAAAAAAATTATTTAAAATTGCCAAACTTAAAAAAAAGTTCAGGTGATCTTGGAAAAAAAATGGCCATAAAGCTCGAATTGATAAAATCCTCTTTTTTTTAATGGCTAATACATTTAACTTTGTTTTTTATTTTAATTGTTGTATTTATATAATATTTTTGAACTCTAGTGTTTTTTTTTATTTACATACAGCATAATGATGAGATAATAAAAGTATATAATATAGTAAACGAAAGACGACCATCTCTAGACATGATCTACTTAGAACCGTCCGGGTTAGATAAGGGATTTCTGGGAAACCAGTTAATATAGGTCAATCGCTTGCCCTTTGTCTATTACAATAATTATTAAGTTAATAATTATTATTCACCAAAACGGATGAAAGATATGTTTAACTATTTCCTGAATAATATTCAAACTTCACAACAGTTTTACTTTACTTTTAACAGTTAATTATTAATAATTGTCATTAGCCTAGCAAAATATAGTTTGCCTGTTTACCGTTTTGTGCAGCTGTTTTCATATTTTGATGTATTATGTCAAAGACGAATGCCGCACCGGATTTAACGGTGATATATTTTTTATATCATAACACAGACACTGATATTGTGTGGGAATGCGATTTTATCGCAATTAAGCTAATTGTCGGTTGCCATAATAGAAAAAAATCGTTTTAAAAATTTCCATCACTCCGTGCAAGCACATAAGTCGGGCGCTTAGTTATTTTATCAACGATGACAAAGCGGATTGAATAGATACAATATTATGTTTTTATTTAATCACATAAACAATGCAAATTAACACTTGTCTGCACAATAATAAATGGACTTAAGACTAAAATATACAAAACGGCGTAAAAAAAAAAAAAAATTCTGTACATTAACAAAACGTGTTGACAAACAATAATGTTTATTTTTTTAAACGTTATGTAACTTTTTAACGGGTTTAAATTCGTATGAATGTAGTTTAAGAATGATCATTTATAACTGCTGAAAGGAAAACTATGCATTTACATATTTTGTTGTCTTATCTGTTTGCAACAGTTTATTATTATGTTTTAAAGCTACATATCATGTTAACCGATTGAAAGTCTTGGTGCGAACTATCACTATAGGTATATCTATAGTAGATATGTTATTATTACAAAACTACACTGTACGATGTAAAAAAATATACAAATATTTATCCAAATAAAAATTATATTTTGTAAAAAAAATTGTATTAATAATAATCCATTACCAATAAGAAATATCCTTTTTATGGATTTCCGGATTACCGCGATTTAAATTATTCATATTTTAGTAATATCGTATTTGTCTATTGACATTTTAAATTTTCAAAAATTAATTTAAATACTAACATCCTTTAGAATGCAGATTTTAAAGAATATTGACAATCCTTACCTACTACAAAGTATAAGCACAATAAGTAATTCAGCCGATAAAATAGTATGTATTTAAATATATATATATATATATATATATAGATATATACATTTATACAAGAACACTGAAATCATTTGTTTTTTATAGTTTAAATCTAAGTGTATTATTCAATAAATACAAAAAAAAAGATAGTTTGTTTTTCTCATTTTAGTGTACTTTGTGATAGGTTGACTAAAATATTTTTTAATTTACAATTTAATAGCGATACAAGAGTTTTGCCATTTTTTTATACCTACTTAAATCATTAGTTTAGCGAGAAAAGCGATATTTTTCTATTAAATAAGTTTTTATTTTGTTACATTTCAATATAGTTTATAATATTGTTTTTATTTATGTGAAATTATTACAAAATATACTAAAAAGTATTGAAATGTATTAAAATAATAACTTATTATTATTATTGCAATAACTTAACCCTTTTATATTTTATAAACTTAAAAAGTAAATTCAACTCTATATGCCTTTTTTTTTGTAACTTATAAACAACTTTTTTGAGCAATATTCCCCTTGTCCCGTTTTAATGCCGTTATCAGGTTTCATTAAAAATTACTAATAGAACAATCATTTTTATAATTCGATTACATAAGCATGGAGAAAGTGGTAGCATTTAGAATTTTGGATTAAATTCCAAAATAGGTAGCTCTACAAAAAATTATTTTCAAAATAAAACAAAATTGTTGGTACGAAAAAATTATACTTCAATTAAAACGAGTCGTTTGTTGATAAATTAAATTAATTAAAAATAATATTGGTTTGTTATTACCCAAAATATGTAAAAAAAAATTACAATTTTTTTCATTTGGAGGTCAAAATTTGTAATTGGGCAAAATTGTGAAATCAGTTTTTTGAATTTTTTAATAAAATATACTATTATAATCACCCTATCAGACCTATCTTCATACTGTTCTTGTAGCAGTTGTTGACTTAACAAAGGCTTTTGTACCAAAAAAAAAAAAAAATGCAAACACTCACCGATGTTGACCAACTTGATGTTCTCGTCGTCCAGAAACTTGAGGGCCACCGACACGTTCTCCAGCTTCTGCGACCGGAACGTGGGCCGCTTGTTGTGCTTGGGCAGCCGCTTGCCGCTGAGCACCTCGATCAGCGTGATCAGCCTGAGCCCGTCGCTCAGGTCCGTTTCCAGGTTGCCGATGGACTTGTCCGCGGTTTTCAGGTGCTCGTTGGCCCATCGCGTGAACGTGTTCTGCTGGATGAGCTTCCAGCGCGCGTCCTCGGCCAAGTCCCGTTCGGCGGCTCCCATGTCGTCCTCCTGACTGCCGCCGCCGCCGCCGTCAACGTATCCGTCCGGTTCGGCCGCCGCCGCCGCCACCGCCACCGACATACCGGTTTATTCAAATAAAAAAAATATATATATATATAGAAAAAACAACAACCGCTGTTGTCGGACCGCACTACGGCCGGACGACCGAAACGACAAGCGCCCTCTGTCGGATTGCACCTGCAAAAAAAAAAAAAAAACCAAATAAATCCGATGCATATCCCCGTATGCAGTTTAATGGTGTTGTTATTTAAATGCAATGCACGTGCATCGCCGATCGCATACGTTGTAATACGGGGTGATCGTGTATTGTGATACACGATACACGTATCATGTGATCATATTTTTATCGTGAACCACTCTTTCTGGGCCGATGATGTTTTCTTAATTATTGTCCACTGCTTGAAATAGTGCCTACGCTATGTCTAAAGAACATCCCAAGCGAAATTACATGATTTTTTTGAAATTATAGCTCTCGGTAATGTAACTAAAAATGAAACCGTTACACGCGACATATTACAATATACTACTCGGGAATCGAAATGAGAAGTAAAATGTTCATTAATAAATGGGTTATACATATTTTTGAGTATTTTTCCAAAAAAATCTACGAAATATTCGATAATTGTGTTGTCCAACAATAGTTACTAATTTTATAAAAAAATCCTGCATCGAAGTAAGAAAAAATCGAATAGTACAAAATTGTATAGGTACTTCTGCTTACTGGGTATTGCATTTTTATTAATTTCAATAAAATTTAAATAACCTACATGAATTTATAAAATAATATTTGCTAGTTTTCATAATAACAAAAAATGATAAAAAAAAATAGCTTGAATTAGAATTACATTTTTTACACGTTTTAAATTAATTTATAATAATAATAGGTACGTTTTTCCTATCGAGGAATGTTTTTAGATTATAGAATATAATCACGTACAATGTGTTATGTATGTGAACCACTCGATATCTCTTAGGGTTTAATGAGAAATTACATTTTTTTGTTACAATGTGATCTCCATTTTTTACAAATTTGTAGATATGTTCCTCCAAAACTAATTATTGTTACATCAAATTTTATTGGTAACGCACACATTTCGTTAACTTTCTGAATATTGAGAATAATGTAATGAAAATGTTGACCGGTCGATAACTAGTCTTGAATAAAAACACTTTTTATAGGAAAACTACAATTGTATAAACACTTACAGATAAACGCTTTCTAAACTTTGTCATGGGCGATTTTTGATAAATTTGTAATTGGAAATGAGTTATAAGACTTTGAACAGGTATCTTTAAACTCTAGAATATCTTTTTAAACAAGTCTTACCCAAAATAAATGTTGTATGACGCGCTCTAAAGACTTAAAATATATGACTTATTATACAGAGTGATCGTTTTATCGTGAACCACTCGATATCTCATAGGGTTTAATTAACAATAGAATTTTTTTTTCAAAGTATAATGTGATCTCAAATTTCCACAAATTAGGAATTTAAGGTAAATGTTTCAAATTTTTTTTTATATATTGTATAAGTAACATCAAAGTTTGGTATTTTTTCTAAAAAGTGCTATATTTAAGAGCCTATAACTTTTAAGGGTTTAAACTGAAAATTCTGAAATCTGTTCAGCACTTACTTATACGTGAATTGAACATTTAGTAATATTTTGGTAATGGAGACTTATTTTTACTAGGAGCTGTAAGAGTTTGAATTTATTCAAATTTCGTATTTTAGAACTAGCATAACATATTTTTGTTCAAGTGTTCAATTTAGTGAAATTTTATAAAATGTTTAATTTGTTTTTAATTTTTAGCTACTTGAAAATTAAAAAAAAAATTGTTTTAGGATATTAAAAGATCACTTAAATGTTAAGTAACATTTTTCATAAATTTGAGTTACTATATTATGTAGATTGTTACACAATATCTGATCGCATTAAGTAATACATGCTTTTTACCATTTAAGTTTCAAACAACCGAAGTATAAATTTATACACGATTTTAGTGATCTAAAAATGCACTTAAATTATGTGTTACTCTTCTTATTAAATATTTTAGCGTCTGAAAACTATACCGGAAATAGCAATTGTCAACAGGTATCAGAAAAATTGTCATCGCATACAAACATATTATAAAAAAATTGCGGATTTTTTTATCTTTTTATAGCTGTTATAACGAGATCATTAAAAAAAAAAAAAATTAAAAACAGTCTACAACATGTATATACCCACAGACCACATGTTGACAACAGATTGAATTTTAAGTACCAAAACGCTCTTTGTTGAGCTTAAAATTGGGCGAAACTTGGTTTTAAACCGTTTAACTTTAAGTACTATATACACATTATATAAAAAAAAGCCCATTTTTATTTTGGACCACTCTACTTAGATTAGACGGTTTGGCCGGCGCCCAGATTTTCACTCCTTAGGGATTAGTACTCGACGGTTGCATGTGAGTAGAATTATTATTTTCAAATGCACGGGCGTACTTAGCGAGCCGAGTGTGGGCGGTGAAAGTATAGCCTAGGGTTTTTGTCTTTTCGGCGTTTGTCTAATGTTGTGCCAAAAATATAAATTAATTTAATTGAGCTGGTGGATCTCACCCGAATGTAAATGCAATCGTAATAAAAAAACAAAAACAAAAATTAATTAAAATCGTATGGCTGCCATCATTTCGAGCAAAAACCTCTTTGTAGTGTCTGCTCATTTTTATGAAATCGATTATACATCATAATAGTAGTAGATATTATGTGAAATGAATAATATTATTATAAAATGATTTATCACATTTATTAGAATAATAATTAGATAATAAAAAAGGTATTTTCCACGCACACATGTTTTTTACCACACATCATTTCACTCTCAAAGAGAACCGCGGTAGTCGTTTAGATAATTGTGTTACACGTGTTGTTCTTTGGTGTAATCAGATTTGAATGTCATTAGAATAACTAATAGTTGTTTGAATAAGTGAGTGGAAAAGAATTTTTCGTTTTAATGTGGCATATATTGACTCTTTTTTCCATCCCATTTCCATTCATGAATAATTCAGTGCGATATCGTTGGAATAACGCATATTTACAATATAATATACTCGAACAACGAATAAATAAACAGAATGTTTTGAATATTACAAAATTGCGTTGGTTATTTGAATACAATTTTGTTTCAGTTAAAATCTTCATATTTTAATTAGTATAAGACGTTATCGAAATTCTTGGCCACTTAATTTTGTTTATTTTATATTTTTTAATATTAATAATAAACGGATTAGAACCAAAGTCCAAGGTTTATTAAAAATGAAAATCAAAGTGAAAACAATTCAATGGTCAGTGGGTTGAGTGGGTATACTTTTATTTTTATATATATAGATAAAACTTTGAACGGTGTTTCGTTGAAGCTCGTTAGACGGAATACATTACATGCACCTATTTTAGGTATTTTTATTAATTATATATTATTTTTTTAACATCAATAATAACGTTTAACAACATTGTACCGCTATTGTGAACATAACAACAACATGTTCAATTAACCAATTGGCTCTAACACGTTCTCTGATAACGTCGTACACCGTAACGAAATTCATATTTTAAGCTATATTAATATTATATGTTTAATTTATGTTATTACAAGGACGACCCGTCGTGAATATTTATCGCTACCTAATGAAAATAGATATAATATAGTAATAATTTCCTATGGAGAACCAGTAGTTAAACTTTACACTTGGAATCATTGACATTCAACGAACCATACTTATTAGCTGTTAGGTAGATACCTACATAAGACCTGGGCACGTCATCTGGTGATATCATACAACGTGACTTCCATCATTGACGGCCATTAGGTGTATTTTACAGTACACACGAACCATACATACCTAATAGGTCCGATGTAATGAGAAGTGCCTGCCTTCGAAGACAGGTTCTCGGATCTCATTACACACAATGAATTGAATATTATTACAACAGCTAAATATGGTGCATCAAAATGTTTGGAACGTTACCGCCTTGCCGACGGTATTTGTTTAATAAAATCAAATTTTTTGAATTATACTAGGCCTATACTTAAGATACCCATTTCTAAAACTACAATTAGAAATAACCGAATAAATAAAAAATTGTCTTACCCCTTCTGGGGATGATAGGGCTGATGATGTTTTCTCTTATTTGTTCACTGCTAACAATAGTGTCCACTATGTCTAAATAAGTAAAATGTTCATTAACAAATGGGTTATACATATTTTTGAGTATTTTCCCAACGATTTCTAGGAAAAATTCGATAATTTTATTGTCCAACAATAGTTATTAATTTTAAAAAAAATACTGCATCGAAGTAAGAAGAAATCTAATAGTACAAAATTGTATAGTAACTTCAACTTACTAGGTATTGCATTTTTATTAATTTCAATAGAGTTTAAAAAATCTACATGTGAATTTATAAAATAATATTTGCTAGTTTTCATAATAATATAAAAATAGTTTGAATTATAATTGTACATTTTTTACAAGATTTAAATTAATTTACAATAATAATAGGTACGTTTTTCCTATCGAGGAATGTTTTTAGATTAGGTATAGAATATAATCACATACAATGTGTTATGTATGTTAAATCATCAAGTGTCTTGCGCCCGTTTAATGGATCACCCAACATGGATCGTCGTGAACCACTCAATATCTCATTAATATGAAATATAATTTTTTTTCTTCATAGTGTTGTTATACAATGTGATAACAATTTTTTTTTAAATTTTTTTTTCTTTTTTTTCCCTCCTCCAAAACGTATTATATTTATATGATCACCTTGTATATTGCCAACGTTATAATATTATAAAGTAGCCGTCATGCATTCATGACCGGCGCGTGTAATGCTATTATTATTGTCCATGTATGGTGGTATGTATGGGCACGCGTACTTGACAATTCCTAAACAGAAACACTTAATATTATTCAAAACCGTGATAATATAATAATATTATGTCCGTTCATGGTTATGCCTCGTTCGGATCAGCTGTCAATAAAAAAAAAAAAAAAGTCCATAAGTACCTCTAATACAGAGCCGCTGGTAATGTATATATACATATGTCTAAGTATATGATATGTGTTTATTATTATGTATAATGTAAGTGGTCGTTTTCACGCTTAAAAATAACGAGCCTTATGGTTTTTTAACGGTCTCAGTGCAACAATAACCCTTCTTATTGGTCGTTGCGACCAATTTATAATGTTTGGCATTTTCCACACACATTAAATAGTTAATAAAATATATACCGTACCAATCGAGTTTCAAAAGTCGATATAAAAATAACTAATTTGGGATGGAAGTGAAAACAAAGAAAAATATTGAAAAATTTACATCACATATAATAGAAATACTGTGGAAAAAAAATTAATTTCTTATTACACCCTATGAGACTTTTGGTGGGTCACGATAAAATGATCACTCTGTATAATAATTTACACCATAACGATATTATACCGATCGGCTAAGTTTTCCCATTTTCAAAATGTAAACTTAACCGTATGGGTTTAAGTATGCGTCCTTGTTCGGTACATTCGAACAACAACAACAACAACAACAACGTTTACCTTATACGGAGTACGGTTCATCTGTGTTCAATGTTCAACTAATTAATCTCATGATAATCAGACAAATAACACGGTAATCATATTACCATTATTATTATCATCATCATCGCCGTTGCAATAATTAATTAACGCGTTACACTTAGGTTTTATACAATTTATTACCTAAACTTAACGGGATAGATCATTTTCAAGTAAAATGTTTTCTCATTGTCTCATACACGTCTGCCGAGCAAAAGTACGGTTAAACAGAAACAATTTAAGCTATAGAAAGGTAATTTTTTAGGCCGAGAAAAATGTGCTGTACATTTTCACTGGTCGATAACCAGTTTTGGACAATAATTACTTTAAGTTGAAAATTTAGGACTAAGGAATGTGTGTGCTAATAACGAACGGTCTCCAATAGTGCAAAAGCCAATGTAAAAAAAAAAAACATAACAGATGTAGGTCAGGTCTCGCGTGACTCATACGTTTAAACGGTGTAGTCGATATTTTAACTATTTCTCTAAATTTGTCGTCACCTCATAACATATTATTATTATTATTAAAAATTCAGTTGCCGAGTTTTTGGAATGATTTCAAACAAGCGTTAACTATAGGCATTGTAAAATCTTTAATGAGTACATACCGTATTGGAAAAGCAAGTCAAACAACAAATAACTGTGTACCATTGTTTGGATAATAATAAAAAAAAAAGGTAAAAAATGGTTAAAATGTTAAAATCTCCCTTTTTGTTCACTTCAAAAATATATTGAAAAAATTTACAAATTTACTCTACAATATATTCGAATTAGGTAACGTTAACGTGTCAAGACGATAAGTACTTAAATTGTTATAAATTTGAAAAAATACAAATTTTAATGTCGGTTAAGCTACTTTTATATGTTTAATCTTAACTCCGAAATCCTTTAAGGCAGATTTTTATCGAAAAATTAACTTCAAAAATACATTTTTATTTGGTTACAATGTGAGACTGAACCTACATTTTTTTTTTTAATTAAAAAATTCTATTTTCTTGTCAGAAAAAAAATGTATAGTTTTTTAAACATGGCTAAACATTTTTATCGTCCCAAAAATATGCTTAGATATGTGTATTACGTTAGGCATGATATGTGATACACTCAATAATTACCTCGGAGAACTAAAATCGAGCAAATGTACCAGTAGGTAGTGTTTATAATAATAAATATTGGAAATTTAAGAAAAACACAAGTTTAAATACTGTTATCGATTTTTCAGTTAATTAAAACTTAACTGTTTAATATGAATTTAAATAGTGCTTAATGATAACCGAACAAAACATAAATAAAGTTTATACTGTTGTCATAATACAAATTCATTGGTCAATTTCAAAAAGGTGTCATGTCTAATTTTTTTGGGAGGTTTTTTCTTTTGGGCTATCTGCTCACCGTCGTACATCAATAGCTGCGATAAAGGGCCATATATTATGTTAAAAAACTACCTTTAAAGTACTTAAAAGAAAAAATTTTAATAGGTTAGGTTAGGTTAGGGGATATAAGAATAGATTTGTTGTATTTTTTTGTTAAATTTATTTATTTATAATTTATACGAACTGACAAAACTCATTTTTATGGTATAATAACTAAGTAAAAATTGTGGCCAACGGATCATCATGCCATTCAAGCTATGTACTTTCATATTGTTATTATTAACTCATTTACTTATTGTACTGAACATATTGTATAGATTGTAAAAATTATTTTGAAAAACAAAACAGTAATACAATAGGTAATAAACTGCGAAAAAAAACAATCAACACCGTATAGTACACATAACGTGAATTAATTTATTAAAGGGCATGAAGGAGAATCAAGATAATATTATTTTTTTTAAAAACTAGAGCGTGAAGTATGGAAAAAATCAACTGTAAAACGCAGCCGCTAATTAGTTTTGCATTTAGGTTGAAAAAAACAATTTTCTAGTAGTAAAATTCCAAATATATATATATATATACAGGACTTATATATCGACTGCCCCAACGAAAAGGGTCGTATCTTGTTTTTTGCGACTTTTCAGGATGAACCCAACAAACATTCAAATTCAAATTCTTATTCTGTTTTTAACATATCAGTTTGAAAATTTGGATACATTTTTTGGTTACAATTTTCTAACTGATATGTTAAAAACAGAATAAGAATTAAAATTTGAATGTTTGTTTGGTTCATCCTGAAAAGTCGCAAAAAACAAGATGCGACCCTTTTCGTCGGGGCAGTCGATATATCAACTCAGGGTTTTCCTGGTTCGTTTGTTAAATATCCATAAAAATAACAAAATAACCTATTCCGCGAAAATTTCTGAATAACGTTCGAACTAATACACGTGTCACGCCAAGTCATAAATACCGTTGAAAACGACCAAGTTTTGGGAAAACCCGAATGACCCGTTTTGTTATGAGAGAATTTTACCGGGAATCCCCCGTGGTATTGTTTATTTTTCATTTTCGATAGAAAAAATCTTTTCTCCGGGCCGCCCACGCAGTACCGTCGCGTAGACGTTTGTTTCTGGTACACCCTGTTTGTGGATTAAGGAGGTTTTTCTTTTTAATGTGTAGTCTTAATACAACATCGGTAGGATCACGTACCTATATATTATTATACGGGTCCGGTATGAGTTGTTACAAACGCGTTGTTAAGCCCACGGAGCAGCGGCCGACGGAGGTTTGCCGATCATATCGAACCGAACGACGGTGAAAACTTTCGCAAACAAAACAAAAATTTGAACGTTTTTTCCCGGAATTTTCTCGATTTTTTTGGAAAATCGTGTCAAGTCCGGCACGGCACGAAGATGATGTAAAAACACAATATTGTTTTCACTGTTGATCGCACCACGGCCGAGTGTGTGTTCTGACTGAAGGCACAGCCCGTCGACGAGTCGGCCGCGTTGGATAAAAATAAATATCCTCGGCGGTGGCGTGGCGGTGGTTTTGGTCGGGACAGAAATAATATAATACAAGCCGAACTCCGAAAAAACGGCTAATGTTTCTGTAGCTCTCTCACACTCACTCACTCTCGTTTGTGCACAATTCAAAAAATTGAATTCTATCCGAGGCCTACGACTGTGCCGCGGGGGAGAAGGACGAGACATCAACCGCCAAAGCCAGGTCTCTTCGGTGGACTTGACCCCGATATCCGTATATATTTCCAACCACGGCGACAACCTCGGTCCGACGACGCTGCCTAATATGGTCGCGAAACGCCACAGTTTTGTTTTACTGTACACAATGACATGGAAAATATAGAATGTACGGTACCATGCGCATATTGTGAATCACTAAACGCACAGAGGACAAACGCGGTGTCCATAAAACCGTCTGTGCGAAACTGGAATAGTGAAAATTTCAATCAACTGAATCGGATAAAGTTCTGAAACTCACTTTGCGTTTTGTTTTTTTTCCTATTCACAAAAAGCTCTTAAAGTTACAAAAAAAAAAATGTCTTATTTAAAGTTCACTTTAATATTCTTTCTTGATGTTTTTCGAAGATTTCTTTATATCGCTTTGGGTCTAAAAACATAATAGGAATAACACTAAACTGATGATTTACAAGGTTCATTTTTAAAAGCCAGACAGCTAAAAGCTTAATAATATATTCAACCATAACTAATAAAGGCCGAATGACATAATGCGAATAACTGCTGGTAGCTAATCGGTTTTGAATAATTGCTTTTTGAGTTATTGCCGTTTAAATGCCGTCGACGAGGTGAACGGTGGACTGTAATCATATGTCTTACGCCCAAAATAAAACTTCAAAACTGCATTTCTCATTTTCTGTCAAACGAGCCATCTGCTACAAGTAATCTGTACCTATTATAATATTAACGATCGGTCCAGAGCATAAGCTTCATGACCAACGCCATACTTGTTTGTCCTTCAGAGGCGTCGAGGTTGTTTTACTTAATAAAGAAATCTTCTATGCAAGAATACAAACTGTTTAGTATAGGAAATACTACTATCGTTTCGGCTCTTATTTCTAATTTGTAATTATTGGCATTGTAAAGTATAAAAAGCATAATGCATTTTATAGGAGGTATTGATACTCATCAACACATAACGTACAATTATTTTTCCATTAGTCATGTGTGCTAAAATATTAATCCAACTTCAAAACCAGATACCTTATTTATACTCTTTTCATTCGTCCACCTCGCCGTTATATCTTTTCATCTCCTTCTATTTTCGTTGCATCTCTCATACACAATGCCCAACAATCGCTAATAATTTTTAGCAAACACATCGGTTTAAAACATACCTACCATTCTACTCCAATTGTCCTCGAAGCCGGCTTAAGGATTGATTTTCGTTTTTAAAATAGTTACAAGCGTATTTGTTTTTATATTTTTTTTATGGTTATTTCAATAAATCTATGAAGTTTTCTTATATCCAATGGGAAAATCGGACTTAGGGCTATCGCAGATAAAATAGTAAGCTTTTCTGCTGAAAAGAAAAAAACTTTTGTAGGTGCGCCAGAAAATGCTTTCAACAGCAGTAAGTCGTCAACTCGAGTCTTTATTGTGTTGAGAGATTTTGAATATACCTAACTTCGGGCCTGTGAAATGGGAGTATTGTCGTAGGCTGTTGGTTCACCCTAAATGAATGGCCTTTATATACAATATATTGGTGGTTCAAGAAACAAACCATTCGATCGAGTGCAAATAAAAGGAGTTTTTCTTTTAGTTGAAGAAACAATTCTTTACGGACAAATACAATAAAAATAAAAACTGAACATCTTTTCTCTTGTCGGTTTAAAAGCATCCTGGGAGCTTACGGGAGGAGCTTTGGCTTCGACCGGAACGTTGTGGATTGCGGCGTCACAACGTCGTGGTCAATAAGCAATTATGGCCACAACGACCGTCACCGGCAGCAGGACGGCCGGCAGCCCGAGTGGCCGAGTGGCGTCGCCGCACTTGTAGGGCAACCAATTAATCGACCGGTAATCGGAGTTGTCGTAGTACTGATTGGGCATCGGCACGACAGCCGTGGTCGTTCGCTTCATCTTCTTGGTGGACGAGCCAGTGGCGTTGACGCAAGTCACCGGCCCCGGGGTGGTCATGAGCGACGCGTAGATGACCGCGTCCACCCAGTACCTGTACGGGTACGTGAAAATCAGCGCCCGTATGTTGCCGCGGCGGCCGTCGTTTTGCAAGTACGACACCATGGCCACCATGACGGGGCCCTCCGGCGGGGGTTTCCTGGTGCCCGTCACCTTTTGACCTATCGCCCCCCTGGTGGTGGTGTTGCCCGGTTTCTTTGTCGTCTGTCCCGCCGGCGCTGGACTCCCCCCCGGCTCTTTCGGCTTTTCCGTCGCTTTCGGCGTTTCCGCCGGCGGTGGCTTTTCCGTCTCTTTCGGCGTTTCCGCCGGCTTTGCCGTCGTTGTCGCGTCTCCTTGCGGGTCCGGTGGCGGCGGCGGCGCTACTAGTGCTGACTTCTTTGGTGCCGCCGTTGATGCCGGCGGTTTGGCCGGCGGCTGTGCGGGCGGCTTGGCCGGCGGCTGTGCCGGCTTCTCTTCCGGCTTCTTACCCTTAGCGTCCGACGGTCCCTTAGCGTCCGACGTGCCCTTAGTCGCATTGGAGCGTTTAACTGTGAACAAAAAACCTCAACTATATTCTCCGTTTCGCAGAAAACCGTTGAATATCACGTTTGAAACCGTCGTCACATTTCTAATTCGTCAATTGACAGGGCTTATTATCAGCCTATCACCAGAGCCTTATCGCATGACTAATAATATACTCTGTCCAGCGAAAGAACGCGCCCGCGCAGAATACAAAACATGTTGCTCCTGTCTGCGCAGGCGCACTGGCGGCGCAACTAGGTCTAAAGTATCGGGGGGGGGGGGGGGTGGGGTTAGTCCTACAAATAAATATAGCTGAAATACGACAGGAAATAAAAAAAATAATCGTATCAGTATAAAAAAATCAACATCCGTACACACCACAAACATACACCTGCTGCACATAATAATATAGGGGTATACATTTTTAGTTTATAAATTAAGATCAATTTTTCTAGCTTTATTGGTAACTGAAAATCTGTCCAATACCATTTTCGTTATTAACAGTATTAGTTATAAATCTCTCTCTATGCAAAATAATAATGAATTTGTAAATCGCTGTTGCGTCATTGTTGAGCGTAGTCAATTTTTTACACGCCGCATTACTGAGAACGCCCTGCCACAAATAACCCTACTATAGGGGTGGAAACCTATGTGCGGTGTATATTAATATTTAATTCTATTGTTGTGAGGCCAAAACATTAGATTAAGATTACGTCGGATGGTGGGAAAAAAATACAAAAAGCGTTTCTTATTACCGAAACGACGTGTTATTTTTAATGCGAAAGGAAAATAGAAGTATATTAAAATATGACAATGGTGTGTGAAGTAACTTGGTCGGATGGGGTAAAAATAAACGTAGATGGCGAAATTTCAAAGTTGTGATAACGTGAAAAATGATAAAAAGATTTGGATGATGGTCGAGACATGTTAGAAGAAGTGAGAGGACTTTTAAAATAATTAAACACAAAGATGTAGGATGAAAAAGTTGGAGAAATGTGGTGAGAAAAAATTTGGCTAGATTAGGTGCGCATAAAAATACACGAGACAATTGCACAATAGTAATAGAAAGTTTGAAAGTTGGGCTAATAGCGGGAAAATGATAAAGTATAACATTTAAAACGTTGTTACTGCTTACTGCCTTTATCTAAAGTGGTTGTGATGAAAACGGGTCCTCCTTCATCACCTTCGCATATGCCAGTGGCATTCGGTGTACATATGTAGTTGTCCATCCTAAGGCAATTAAGCAAAAATAATTGTATTATATAAATAAGTAGTATGATAATTGTTTTTCTACAGATTTATGAGAATCTATGCATCCGTACCAATAATCCTTAACACGAGCAATATAATCGTTACACCGATGCATAATCGGCACATCAGCCATTTGCAGTCTGATGACTCCCTCCCTGTTGGAGGTCTTGTTACTATCAACTCTTGTCTTTTCGTTGCAGAAGCCAAATATTTTGTACGGCAAAGACTCCGGCGCATGTTCAAAGTATTTTGCCGGTTCGGTGCCGATTATTGGAAACGTAATGTTTTCCAAAATCGGTTCGTCAACGTACACGAGTGCCACGTTATACTTCCTACCGAATCTGTCCCTTTTCGACGGGGTGGTGAATTCGTTTATCCACGAGTAGTCGGGCAACAAACGGCTGCCGAAAAATATTGGATTTGGCATAATTTTCTGGCTTGTCGTTTGGAGAGTCACATTAATGAAATTTTTCTTCGCTCCGCTTTCGGTGTCGAACATGGTGAACAACTTCGGATAAATCTAAAGTAGACAACACACCGTAGACAAAACTTTCATTACAAATTTTCATAGTATCATACAGTGCAAACATAATTCTTAATAGCACCGGGATTCCTACAGGATTTTACCACAAGTTGTCCTAATTAGCCGTATCCGTATTCGTAGTCTGTCGAATTAGGGGAGCAGTACGGGGAAAGTAGTTTGCATCTACTATTTGAGATGGGTGGTGGTTTTCCTGTGAAGAAAGCTTACTGAGCACAATTTTTTTAAGAAATATTGGATCGGGAGACATGCAGGACAATCAGTGGGGATTCTTTAGAGTACCTTTGAAAAATCCTTAGGGATATCAGTGGGGTTCGCAGTGACACGAAAGATTCACTTTTGTAATGTTTTAGTGCAAGGTTTCTACAAATTAAGATAAATATTGGAGAAATGAAAAAGAAGTCATTCGATTGTTGTTTGGAAGGTGGCGAGGGTGGAAGTTGTGGTGACAAGATAAATGTCACCTGTGACATCAGACCGATTGGGCCGGACCGTTTGCTCAATACTTTGAACCTGTTTCTACCTGAGGCTAACTCGAGAAGTTTGTCGCTCTACAAGGTGTACAAGGTCGTGTCTAAAGGAAGAATTATGTAGGCAATGCCAGTGTTTTTAACCCATGTGTTATGTACTTTAATGCTTTTGGCGTATGCTACGCACTGAGCCGTAGTCATTATGAGATGCTCAGAGACCACGGTTCCGGCGCACGCCACTCTCTGCATTCCTCCTCTGAAATTGTCTTGCATGGTTTTTATGCCGACAATGAACGGATACTTGTTCTCGTGGTCGGCGTCCGACACTTCCACGACCGGCATGGGGTCCGATATGCGCTTGGGCCTGGAATTATAGCTTTTGACCGACTGTGGCAGCTGTGTCGTCGGTGACCAATTGTCGTCATCCAGTTCTGGTGTCTGCCACGACAGATCAGGCTCCTCTGATAAAGCGAACATGTCGACGTCTATGACCCCAAATAAGAATGTCCAAACAGTCCATAACATTTGGGCAAAAACAACACGAAAATGTTAAAAACAAAATGACGAAAAACAACGTTAACAAAACGATTGCAAACATGCCGTGTCTCGGTCAGCGCATTGGCGGTGGTTATCGTCACGACAACCGTCGTACATAACAATATTATTTCAGCTATTATCGCACAGGACGCATCTTGGTTGTAAAAACCGATTGCTAATAAAAAAAAATTACAAGAAATTTGGTTTGAGGCGACCGAGTGGGCCTAGGTGATAAGAGGAAAGAAATTATCCCACGATGAGTGATAAGAGATTATTATCAAACTAATCAGCTAGTAAGAGATAATAAGCGCTGATAACACTAGGAGCGCTGTAGTCACTTAAAATATGGCCGCGAAAACAGGACTGATATCATTACCTTGCCTCTCGTGCAGAATAAAATTGTACGATAGTTTTACAAGTGAAACTTCACCCTTAAATTTCTTATCGGAGTATACCCTACTGGACTAGTAATATTTTTTAATAAGCCTCATGCGGATAGAGCTTCCAACAAAGTAACTTGATTGAAATGATGGATATGGTAGTAATGCAATCATGGTAGATGGATTATTAGCGGCATTTGCAACTTAAAAAATCCTAATTTTCTCCTGGAAAATTAAATTCCTAGTTTAGTTAAATATTGAAAAAAATTATTTGGTATACTATGATGGTTTTCTTGCACAATAAAAATAAACTAAAATAACATACACCACTAGTTATTTTTATATATCTTAAAAATATATTCAAAAACTCTTTTAAAATAATATTGTGTCTAAATTTTAAAATAAAAAATGCAAACAACTACTATAGTGTAAGATTATAAAATTTGAAAATAATGTTATTTATGATCATTATTTAAAATGCAAATTTTATGTAACATTACATGTTCAAAATAAATAGTTTTTTAATTAAATAATATTTTAATACGGTAATTAATATTTAACTTTACATATTTTATTACAAAATAATTTTCAGATTTACTGCATTGTTCTACATTTAACATAATCATGTCCAACTGTACTTGGGCATAATATGTACGCTTCTCTTTAAGTTGATATTCTCCTTCTGGGCCTTTAAGTCTACTATATTAAAATTTTTACCTTTGAAAGGACATCTAATTTCAAGTAATTCGGTAGGTATGTTTGAGTTATCTACCACAACTCCATCGGAAGAGTATTCTAGCCGAGGAGTTCTTTGTGATGTTACAAAACCACTTTTTACAACATTATATTGAGTTTACTGAATATGAAAATTTCCAGCTTGATCCCATGTTGAACCAATTTTAATGTCCATTGACTGTCTGATGTTGACCATATATGTATAAAGCGAATAACATCTGCTTCATGTAACTCTAAATTGTCTAGTACACTTTTTCAGAAAGACCTATCATTTTCTGTTCTTATGCGTTTGTCATTAGTTTCAAATTCAGTAAGTTTTGACATTAGTTTTACACAACAATTTCCCAAATTTAATACTAGATATTTTTCTAATTCATATAAAGTGTCTTGTTCACTAATGAGTTATGGGAACAAATTTACCAGTGATGAGAAATTATTATTTTCATTATTTTTACTTCTAAATGTTTCTCTACTATGACTTAGAATAGCTTGCTTGAATAGATCCTTGCTTGCAATTGATATAAACTGATCGTTTTTAATATAAAAATGTTGAACAAATGCATATCTAAAATTATAGTGCGAAGGAGGCCAAATTGTGTTATTAAAAACCTGTGTATAGGAAGAAAGTGGCAACTATAAATCCAAACATAATAAATAGATACAGAAAATAAATCTTCAATTCAAATAGTTACTATATTATTACGGTACAACTGAGTATAGTTAATACAAGAATAATAATAGACACATTAATTAATTGTTTAATCTGTAATAAATTTCCTAAAACACACACACACCTTATAAAACTAATGATAATCATAAAACAAAGAACAGTAATAATTATGAATGACAGATTTTTTCAGATTATATGAATTACCGTACTATAATACAGTGTGATAAATTTTGCTTGGGTAACACGGTTGAATTATACAAAAACCGTCGAGAGGAGAATGCGGACAAGCCACGGAAATGAGTACAAATAGTAATTTACACCTATTCTTTTAGCGATTTGAATTCTGCACGCGTATACCATGTGTCGTGGTTCGCGTACATGCTGATAAATGTACCGTTGAGTGGTCCGAAGACTTGTGTTAAACTTTCGGTGTACGCCTGAAGCTGTTGGACGTTTGCCGCGACCACGCCTTCGATGTTGGTTTTGTAGTTTTCCCGGGTGAAAATCGTTTGCAAACCCACGTCCACCTGTTGCTTGTCGCCGACGCCCAAATTGCCAACGGCTTCCACCAAATGGATTCTCATCAGCCCTTCGATGAATTGGAGTTCAACGGCGTCCAAGTGGTCAAAGTCGTCCATCATGGCCCGCAGCAGTATCCAGAAAGGATCGCAGTGCCGGGGAACCAGGAACCGTACGGCGTGCTTCAGCGGACCCTCCAGCCGGGACCAACTCTGTGGCAGGCGCTCTTCAAGGGCGACGCTTCCCGACTTGACGGCGCAGAAAACGGCAGCGTGCAGCCACGCGTGGTACATCAACCTCAGCCGGACGCACTTCAGCAGCAACACGTGGTAGTCCCGGTTTTCGACCGGGTTCATTAGCCACGTTTGATGTTCCTTTCCGCCGATCAATTTCTCCAGTTTGAGCAAGCGCGAATTCGTCCGGGACCATTCCACGCCGAACTGCACCAGGGGACCGGCTCCAAACGGTCCCCCTTGGTACCCTTGATCCTGCACCGAGCTGGGATCCAACATATCAATGTCCATGAGATCTTCGACGCCGCCGCCGCCGCCGCCGCCATTACCGCCACGGTGCAAATGCGATAACATTAGGTTTTCCACGGTGAACAGATGCGCTTTGTTGTAGGCGTATTCGAACTTGACACTGTTGGCAAACAGATTGCCCGCGTAAAAGTCCGGGATGTTGTCCGAGGAGTATAGCCTGGAGGTATGCAAATAACCGTCAAGGCGACATTTCGCAATGTACGCATCCAACTGGGCCTCCACCTGGGCATGAGCTTCTTTGAATTTCCTTAAGAAATTGCCCACAAGGTCCGGAGAAACCAGGCCGGTAAAGAAGGTCAGCGTTTTTATTTGCCACGGCTGAGGCGCCCATTTCGCCAAGTACATCACGGACAACATGTGCGTCAATACCGACATGTGATCGGTAACTTTAGTCTGGAACAATTCTCTGGGGAGATCCGTTCCTAACTCCCGCCTTAGACCTTCCACTTGTGTCCAAAATGACTCGATGATTATCGCGTTCACGCACTGGAGCCCTTGCACTTTGGAGTGATACTTTTTCACCGACTTGCTTTTTTCCTCGAGGCAGCCGTCGTCGGTGTGGCACTCCTTCGAAAGCAACTCGACGTCTTCCTCGCCGATCTCAATGATATAATCATAGTCCAACGTGTCCATGGAGCTCAACAACCTTACGAATTGCTTGTCCTCAAATACTTCTTCCAAGTCGGTGGCCAGTTTCCATTTGGGAATTCGCTGTAAGCATATAGAAAGCCTTTAATACACATGCTGAGGGGTAAGAGATATGAGATAGGGGGTAGGATATAGGGGTAGGAGATAGGGGGTGGGATATAGGGGTAGGAGATAGGGGTGGGGTAGGGGATAAGAGATATGTTGTACGTTCAACGTTCAAATTAGAACTAAATGATAAATTCAAAATAGCTAAGGGCCCAAATTATCTATGAATTGTTTTAAGCCAGATATTAAACACTACAATATTAGCCAGGATCCTGATGTTTTAATATACTAGCTTGTAACTGCTTCTTAATATATTATATCACTATCTATAATTCCATCACTACTCTAAATTTATTCGGTACTTCAACGAGACATGAAAATGCTCCTTCGTGAATGCAGACTCGGCTGAAAAACTTTTTTTTTTTAATTGTGTGTTGTAGCACGCGAAATTTAGTCGCAACTTTTGAAACTTAAATGGTAATATATATATTGACATTTTCATGTCTTAGCTCTGGCACATAACCGAAAATATTGTAACGAAAATATTATAACGAAAATATTGTAACGAAAAATGCGTTACCAAAAAAGAAATGGGGTTGAAGATGAGGTGGGAATGGGAAAGGGGTGGAATTAGCTATGGCAAATAACCGAAAAAAGCGTTACCACACGGAGATGGGTTGGGGACAGGAGATAGGGGTAGGAGATAAGGGGTGGAGGTGGGATAGGGTTGGGGTTGGGGACAGGAGATAGGGGTGAGTGATAGGGACGGGAGATAGTGGGTAGGGGATAGAGGTAAGATATAGAAGATAAGAGATAAGAGCTATGTTGAACGTTCAACGTTCAAATTAGAACTAAATAATAAATTCAAAATAGTTTAATTCCCTATAAATTAAACTATGTTAAGTTACTTTTGGCCAGATAATAAACACTACAATTTTAGCCAGAAACATGATTGTACATAATTTTTTAATCTCCTTGGCTTATGCTGTAACTGGTAGCTCCATGTAATTTTTTTTTTTTTAATTATAATTCCACAACTAATCTATATTTATTCGGTACTTCAACGAGACATGAAAATGCTCTTTCGTTTTTTTTATTAACTTTTTAAATTAACAATAATGTACTACAAATTTCGACTGGTCGATAAACAGTTTTGGATAACCAGTTTTTTGAAGTTATAAGAGTTTAAAAGTTAGGATGGGAGGGGAAGTGTGGTTGGGAAACGCGCGCGGGTAAACATAATACTGCACTCCACCTTTCCTCCTGCTCTGAACTTGAAACTTCAATAACTTCAAAAATAGTTATCCAAAACTGGTTACAGACCAGTAAAAATGTTTAGTACATACATTAAAAAAATAAACGAAATGTATGCATTGCCATTTAAGTTTCAAAAGTTGCTACAAAAAAAAATAAAAAAATACTAAGTTGGGAGGGGGGTAACAACAACAAAAATTGTGATAAATCGATATCGCATTGTATAAAAACGTTATGGAAAAATAAAATTCAATTATAAATTAAACCCAGGAACATATTGAGTGGTTCCCGGTAAGTTGCACGGTTTCAATATGGCGGCCGATCCAAAACCATAACTCGGACGGTTGGGACAAAATATTATGTATATTTGAAAATTTCGCCCATTGTAATTTAGACGTATAAAATAAGATCAATAACGACAGCGCTCAAACGATGGTTGTTACTTTAAATCTGTCCATTGATCTGTTCAACGGAAATCCAAACTGTTACGACTCGACGATCGAACAAAGACAAGCGAAGCTTAAACGTCAAGTTGAGTTTTTTTCGTTTTTTTTTTTTTTTTTTATTAAATAGCAATTGTTTATCCATACCTGTACCGAGGAATTGCCCAAACCGAGAAGTGCATTTACACTAACGGTAAAACAAAGTAAACATATAATTATAGTTTTGCAAATCATCGTTTCGCTGCTACTTGTACTAAACTTTGTACAACGAAAAAACATTCACGAATGTATGTGATCACAACGTTCGAAAATGTTATTTTACCAAAAGCATGACGTTGTTTTTTTTTTCCACATAATACTAAGGCGTGTACAAGTGGCTTTGCCTAAGTACAATAACAACATTTTAAACAGTAGTGCCTGTGTAAAACACGTTGATCATAATATTGTGTTATGTTGGTATTTTATTTGTTTAGTTGTTACAGTAGTATCCATATTTTTCAAAGTTAAAACAATACGCTTTATTATAATTTAAATACTTCACTTAATAATAATGTTGATATTCTATTCTATCTAATATTTGATCGGTTCGAATATTATTTTGTCAGTTTCTTTTTTTTTAGGTGTAAATAAGCAAGATATTTTTTTTAATGATGCGAGTCTATGATGATGTAGTTTTGAACTTCAAATTTTTTATCATAATAATTTCCCCATTAATGCCTTAACAGACAAAATTTTAAATGACATAGTACAAAATAGTAGTAACATGTATAATATAAACAGACAAATAATAAAATGTGAATAGAAAAAATATATCAAAAAAAAACTTACTAACCGGTTGTGGTTTATCAGTTACATTCAAATTCCTTCTTAGATATTAGTATATATTAGGGGTTTAGGTCCGAAAACTAGACCAAAGGTGGATCTAGAATGGAACTATAAGATTTCTGAAAAATATGTATTAAAATTTTTTTTATTATTAAGGAAAACCCCCAATAAGGGGAAAATTACCCTTTGACTATAGTCAAATTCCAAGTATTGTTATGTGTGAGTGAATCAACAGGTAATGAAAATATTTTCATTGCATTGTTAATTCCTGTAGACCTGCGACCTCCCCGTCCCAACTATGCCCCCACCTCACTGTACTAGCTTTGTTTAACTTAAACTTAAGCGTATAAAAAAACTGTTATTAGTTCAATACAGTTTTAGAGCGACTTAACTTAATAGAATACACATACAAACCATTCTGCTCGTGGTTGTTGGTAAAGAAATTGACATACTCAAGAACTATTATTTATAGTCAGGTACTAATAACTGTTGTCTGCAATAAAGTGGGTTGATCTGATGAGAAAATATATAAAAAGCATAGAGGGCGTAGATCAGAAGGGGGCTTGGGATTCAATAAATCTCAAAAAACTTTAAAACTTCAATTTTTTTTTTAAATTTATACACACAACTATATAGCGGTAATTATTTTTTTTAAAAGTTTCACTGCACATATTATAAATGTTTTTTTTTTTAAACGAAATTTGCTTCAAACGTTAAACGGTAGCCATGACTACCAGTGCTGCATATATTAATATAAAGTGAAAAATCGCAGACTATAAAATTAAAAAAAATTGCTTTAAAATTGTTTTTTTCTCCGCCATTTTTTCCAGCCAAATGTGGCTTCACCAATGTCGCGGGCAACCGCAATGAAAGTTGCGTTGGTCGTGTTGCTTTTGCTGTCGGTAAGCGCGTCGGACAGCCTGATCGGGCGGGCGGGCGGATGGAGGACCAGGCCGGACCGGGATAACAGGTCGGCCGCGAAAACGTGCTCGACGACCACGGAGGCGGCTGCCGCCGCGGCCGAGAACGCGACGGCGGCGGCGGCGACGGCCAAAGCGACGCCAACGACGCCCGACCGCATGGTCAAAATGATCTCGGACGCGTTAGCCGGTTGCAACGACACCACCTTTGAGGAGTGCGCCGGCAAGATAGCGGCCGCGCTGGCCGCCGGCCAACAGCCGACCACGCCGGCCAACACCGCCAACGTGCACTACATGTTGATGATCAACAACGGCTCCATCGCGACGGCCGACGACCACGACGACGCCAAGGTGGCCGCCATCGTTTCGCGCGTTTTCGACTTATTCCTGGAGAAGTTCAACTGCACGCCGGCGTGGTCGCCGCCGACCGAGACGACGGCGGCTACTGCGAACGAGTCGGCGGCCAACACGTCCACCACGGTTGTGGCCGAGGAGCCGCGGACGATAAACGACGCCGCTGCGCCCACCGGCGAAGACCTCACGACGGCGGGTTATGTGGATGACGCGGCCACTTGCACGGGGACGGCCGCCCCCGCGGTGTCCACGCCGAGCACTGCGAAAACCGTCGAAACGACGGCGGACGACGACGGACGACCGTCGCGCTGTGCGGACGACCAACCCGACGATCTGGACGCGTTCGGTGTCAAGCCTGACTTGTACGACCTGTTGAACAGTTACCGGATACCGCCGCAGTTCGAAAGCGCGAGCAAGTCAAAACCGTGACCGGCGTCCGCCGTGGATCGTTTCCGTTGCGCCAGCGGCCGACAGTGATCCGCAGGCCTCAACGTGGCCTTCCGGGTCGGGCCTTCCGTGTGTCTGGCGAGGCCAGCGCGGGTAAGACAGCTGCACGATGTGACCGCTTGGTCTGTACAAATATTATCATATATAGTTTAATACAATAATGCATTAACCTACGTACCAAGTGTATCATAAAATAAGTCAAATAAAAATATTTTCCTAAAAAAATGTTTGCATATATTTGTAAAAAAGATTGCCGCAGTTGTAAATAAAAAAATATGTTAATACTTCAGGTGTTTTTCTCGATTTTTAAAGGGAACCTTGTATACAGTCCGCATAAATAAACCGTTTCATCCATTTAGGCAGGGCCTGAATTATTGAAACAGGGGCCAAGTGCACGTTTCAGTATGGGGCCCTAGTCTATACCTACATAATTATATATAAAAATTATGAATATTTATAAATAAATTATTATTGTTAATTGTTATTTTTATAGTATAAATTATAAGGAACTTCCCTTTCCTTTTTTCAAATAATCTTCAACATTGACTATTGAGTACCGTCAATATGCCCTACTCGTCTGGTTTTTATAATTACAAAAAAATTATTTTTATTCTTTAACTCAAATAATAATTATTAATTATAAAAATAATACAGAAAATTAATGATAATATGTGTTTAATTGTGTTAAGTAATGTTAAATGTTAGTGTTAAGTAGGTTCGGTCTAGTGATCAGATTTCTTAGAGATCTAGTGACCGTTTGTTTACCAGCCAGGATTTTTACCACCTATTTAAAAAGACAAACGATTCTTATTGCCCAATTGTTAGTCAACGCCGTCTGAAAACTAATTTGAGTAAAACAATTTTATTCACAAAGTATCAACCTTTGTGCTATTTAATTTTTCGTTCCACATGTTCGAGCAATAATCTCAAACTTAAACTACCAATCGTGAAAATCATTTAATTTTATTAAGTTTTGTTATAAATATTGTTTTGATTTAACAATCGCAGGTATTTAGAATATTGCAAAGTTTGGAAATAACATTAAGGCGCTACACACGCCTCCGTCTGTCGACAGAAGGTATTTGTTTTACAGTAATAACTGTTTGTTTTTTTTTTTTTTTTTACAATACAGTGTAAAAAGTTATTGTTTTTACAATTGGTATGTTTTTTTTAGATTCTACGCTCGGTTAGGTTTTTTTTTTAGTTGAAATAATTGCAGATATGTGTACAAAATGTGTATCTAAAAAATCTTACTTTGTTTTAGACAGGGAGAGGACTGAGGAGGTGGCCGGTATAGGAGTTAATCTGATTCCATCAGATTGACATCAAACGCAACAAAAGTCACTGTTTGATTGATTTGTAACAACATATTTTTCGTCGCAACATTAAAACTGAAAAATATTTACTTGATTTTTTAATTTTTACAGGCACAGCCACTTTTTTTTATGAACAATAAAAATGTATAAAAAAAAAACTTGCTTTAAAAAATTAAAATAATTTATTATCGCGATAAACGAGCCTACAACATTATTATTATTAGTGTTTTAACGGTTTACTATACATACAGTCAAGATTTAGACTAGTAAAACTTAACTGACATTGGTGTTTACCGTTTATTGTAGTTGGAAAAAACCAACGACTTTGAGTGTAATAAGCGATACGGCTGTAATACTTGTTGAACATTATTATTATTTGAACCGATCAATTCAAATGCAATTAACTAGAATAGTGTGGACTTTTTTCACTTTCCACCCAGACTGCGCTGTATTGACCGAATAACATTTCCTTTTGAGAGCTGTTTCACATAGTCTTGGGTGTACTACTGCGTTTGATTAGTTAATTACGAACAAACTTATTATTACCACAAAACTGGTTGACGTCATCAAAAGGGCTTGTCGAACAGTTGTATGTTAAATCAGACACACACACACACACACAACCTAGGTCTGTCATGTAAGTCATCAAACACAACGAAAACTCCATTAGGAACCCGTCTTTGACGTTTCTTTCATATATCGTCTTGTGTCTCCATGAATACTCCGAGTGCCTTTGGTTGTACTTGGCCGACCGGTTTAGAAGGTTCTTGTTCAATATAATGGATCAATATCAACAGTTGAGTAAGTTGTAACATGACCGAGCCATTAAAAAAATGTAAAGGTTTTTTTTTTTTTTTTTTGTGTGTGTTAAACATTTTATTGTTATTTTCTTACATTAAATTACAAGTATTTTACTACGAGTAAAACTTAAAAGCATTGCATGCCTCTGTAAGTATTTTGTTTGCATGTTTTTCTTACAAATATCAATTATTACAGTTTCGACGTGTGAAGGTTTTTCTCGATATGCTATTAAACATTCAGCACTTAGTACATCTAGTGCGGACAGTTTATTTGTTTTAGTTCAATTAATTAATTAAATTTTACTTATAAATATCAGCTTGGCTGATTGATGATAAGAAAAACAAAATAATAATAAGAAACGTATGTGTCACACAGCTAAGTAAAGTTTGTGTACAATTTTGTTATATTTTTGGCAACTATTATATTTAATGGCTTAATAAATCATTGAAATTTGAACACATGCTTAATGATAATTGTATTTAAATCAAAAACAATATTTTGTTCGACGTATGTTCTTGCGGACACAAAATCAAAATTATTTTTACTATAAATATAAAAAATTGTTCCGGAGAGCATATTTTATATGTATTTGTTTATTTATAGCACTTAACCACATTTTTCCTAAAATATAATAATAACCCTATCCTCTATATTTTGTGTAAGTTCCAATGCAACTTAATATCAAAACACATCATTTTTATTCCACTGCACAGGCCGAACCAGCGATCCGATAAGCAATCTAAAAACAGATTTGAATTCGCCATGAAGTGTACTTTTGATCGGTCAAGGTACTTTTTTTATATCTTATTCCTACTGTGTAAAAAACACGTTTAAACATTATATAAAATTTCAAATTTTAAAATCAACTTTGGAAAGTATTAAAATAAAAAATTGAAAAAAGTACCCTAACCGACCTTAAGTAAATTTCATGGCAAATTCAAATCTGTTTTCAGATTACTTATCGAATCACTGGTTCAGCCTGTGCGATGGAGCAGAACATGTATTTTATATTAACTAAAATGGCTTTCATAGACGAAATGATTTAAATTAAAAATAAACCGGAAGCTTAAACGAATTAATCGGTAAATCATGGTCGAATTTATTAAAACCAATTTTTTCTTAAATATTGCCTATACAAAACGCCTTAAAAACCAACCGCATGCAATACCCTTGCATTCATGTCTTTAGATCAGAAATTGTTTCCGAAAAGAGTATAAGATGACCGAAGTTCAAGATTTCCCTTTAACATTTAAAAACAAACACTTAAATTGTTTTCATTTTTTTTTTAACTTTTAATTACGGCGCTAACTTAAAAAAAAATAGTCGAATGAAAATAAGTACGTTCTGAAATTCTTTGAGAAATTCTCAAGTTTCCACATACTATTGATTTAATGTCCGCTTTATTACTTTTTAAATAAAAGTAATTGTTATCTCTCTCTCTCTATCTCTATTAGGTGAAGTTTCAAGAATTTTCAATATCCATTCTGTCTCCTATCATATTCTTTAAATCCATTCAATTTGTTTGTCTCTTTCTAAGCTTGCTTGTAATATTATTCAGTTGTTACGGGTTTCCAGTCATATCACTAATATCATACATTGGAAATGGATCTAAACATTATTCCCTCACCTCAACTTGAATACCTTCTCCAAAGTCAAAATCAAATCGACTTACTAAATGGTATTTATGTGTTTTACTTTTAGTTTGATATTGACAATAATAATTCTGATGGTTATTGATGGTTCTCACACCATTTGAATTTCCATATAATATTATATAATAAAAAAATATGTCTATTTTATATACACATTTATTGTATTCCAGAAAAATACTTTCTAGAAGGTCCAATGGATTTTAAGTTAATTTAATTTAAACTTTTTCAGCTTGTTTTATCGTTTTCGAATTTATTCCAAGTTTTAAAATAATTTCAATCTGTAGCTAAAAAAAAAAAAATGGGTAATATAGTTGTAAATATTATTTTAACTTGTATGCAAAATTTACTTGCTAAAATATATGTATTTTTTCGGATATTGTGTAAATTGTATTATTTTAAGAAAATGCGTTCGATACATTATTTTTGTAATTGCTAAAAATATAACATTTACAGACAAAACATCAAACAATTAGCCTGAATTCGACAGACTTTACTTAGCTGTGCGGCACTAAAAAAAAATAATCATTTTAGGACGTCACCTAACAGTCGATCGTTTTTAAAATTTTTTTATATCAAATGTTATTTATTAATACATCCAAAACGAATAAACTATCAACACCAGGCACCACTGAGAGCCGGATATTTAAATAGCTTTCGGTACGGGGCACCAGTTAATTTTTTGCTTTACAAGTTTCATAATAGTTGATGTATATTGAGAAAAAAATCATTATGAAAATCACGGGGAAATTATTTTTCATCGTCTTGTCGGTAAGTACAGTTCAACTACACCGAGCAGAAACATAATATTATCCAAACAGTACAAGTATTTTAAATCGATATTGATCTATTAATATTGTGGTGTGTACAGAGTTATGCCGTCAACATAGCTGTCGGCCATAAACCTTCTCAGCTGGTCGGTCAGGTACACCCGAGGGCACTGAAAGCATTCATGGAGACACAAGACGATATGAAAGAACTATCGACGTTGTTCGACTTGGTCTGGACGCACGTTAAAGGCGGAACCGTTTCAAAAGATTTCGACGAATATTGCCAATTGATAACCATATCGTTTATGATCTTGTTCGACAAGTACTTCGGCGACACGGACAAATGGAATGCAGCCAAACCGCTGATAATCGCCAAACACAACGAGTTGATGCCAAACGATGAACCCAATGACGATTCAATATTGGTTCGCACGAGGAGGGGTTTCGGTTTGCAAGTTGTGCAGGAACAAGAGGTATTATGTGGTGTGTTGTGTGGTAGTCGAGTGCATTGATTTGCAGCCACGAACATCACGCGGATTAGATAAAACCAGATGGGCAGTGCACTCCATTTTATTGAGAATAGTTTGCTGAGGATTTTTACTATCCCACAACCAGTTTTGGATTATTCGTTTTTGAGTTATTCGAGGTCAAAGGGATAGGTAGGATCGGGGCGGTGGAGTGCGGTAGATGGTTATATTATTTAAAATGGATATCTGTTGAAAATAAATGTTGCAAAAAAAAAAAAATTAAAAAAAGTAAAATTGTTAACCGCAACAATTTAAACGTGGTACTTACAGCGCAAATGAGTGTGAATAAATTTTGACAAAAAAAAAAAAACCTTAAAAATATTCACTAGAACAAAAGTTATTTCTACTGTCTTATCTTTGTGGGACACACTGTATATATAATAAACTAAATTGTTAACTAGTGATAAGAATTGTCCGCCATTTTTGTGGGATTTATGTGTGTATAAAATAATATATAACATACAAATCTGTGATTCTGTGTGATCAACTTAATATAAAACTGTTATAAACAAATTTACATGTGATGAGGTTCTAATTCCCACAAACACAGAGGTAAATGGTAACTGAGCAATCTAGTTTATTATATATATATATATATATCTGTGAAAGTAGTTGATGAACAAAGGTCGATGATGATCACATTACAGATGTTTGATGCAATATTTTCATTGACCACACTGTAGAACGGAAGGATTTTTTTTTTCATTTTCTGGCCACACTGACTTGAGATTGTTGGTTTATATTTTTCCAATTTGTTTAGAGTGCACTATCTGGTTTTATATTTTAATGTGTGGTAACTAATTCCCTATGTCGAACCCGGATTTTTCCTATGCAGTTCCTATTACACTAAAATATTATTTTAAAGCGAGACGTACTGATGATGGTTATGATTTTCAGGAGTTCATCTACTCCGAAATCAGTTCTAGACCACCTCATAAGATACTAGAAGGTCTTCGCCCTCCGGCAGTTATACAAGTCCTGGAGTCGCACCCGAACATGAAAGAACTGCTTACGTTGTATAAGATTTATTGGAAATATGCCGAAAATAAAAACCCTGAGTATGAAAAGTTTTGCCGATACTTAAAGTACGCATTCGATTACGCATACGACAGATATTATAGCGATTTAGACAACTTTTAAACATGATATTGCTTTATATTCATATAACATGAATAAATCAGCCCCATTTTGTTGTATATTTTCTTTCATCCATACCATTGTCTGATATTTAAGTACATTTTCAAATTATGTTCTGAATTTAAACCAACAGCGAGCCTTCAATGCGGAGCTGATTAATAAATTGAAAAATTAAAAAACAATTTATTTATTTAAGATTTAACCTGTATACCTGTACGTGTAATACCTATCCCCGATATATTTCTTATTACTATTACCAGTATAGAAATCCTCTTACCACGTTTCCTAATCCTGCGGAATATACCTTGATTCTCACCTACATATCCACTGCCACCTTCTTTATACCATTCACTATCCTGTTCTAAATTCCCAATCATCCTCCACACTACTTTTTCCTTCATTTTCCTTATAAACAACTTTTCTTTTTCACCCGTTAACTTGCACCACTTTATTTATTGGCTCTTTCCTCTTGTTCACTCTCTTTCCTTTACACCAGAATTCTGAAACCATAGACCTATGACGCGTTACCACACTGCCACCTGGAATTATATTACAATCCTTACACTGCTTTATACTCTCTATCCTTCACATCAAACAAAAAAATTTTGATGTATTTCCTCAACTCTTGAAAGTTATACAATGCTCTTCCCTGTTCCTATAAAATATATTAACAACTTCCAACTCACACGCATGAGAAAAATCAAGTACACTCTCTCCCATATAATTTCTCTCTCCAAAACCATAACCTCCGTGTACTCTTTCATACCCAATCCTATCACCAGCAAACACATTTACCACTTTTTCCGTTATTCCATTCAACACCTTACTACCTAGAATTAATTTTATATTTATTTAGGTTGTTATACAATAATAGTTGTAGTAAGAGAGTAAGATAGTAGATGAAAGTTATATATATATATATATATATATGTATATATGACTCAGACATATATATTTTCTGTTATAGTAAAATACTTAAGACACTTCATTAAGTCGATGTAAATGGTCGTTAAACAGAAAAAAAGTAAGTGTTCCAACATAGCTAATGGATATCATAAGTCCGTTTTTATATTAAAACAAATCGCTAGAAATGCCGAAAAGTCAGCAAAGATTATATTAAGAAGTTTCTGCATTACTCCAGGAATCATATTATTAAAAGTATATCAAATGTGTTACTTACAATACTGAAATTGTTGTCAGCATTTAATACAGTACTAATTAGTAATTTAAGTTAATTATTCTTGATTTTAAATATTATCAATATAGTTATCGGTTGTTACCAATTTTTATCATCGTTATATATTAACTGAACATGGTATAGAAATAACCACTAGAAAACTGATAGTTATCACAAAATTAAATTGTTGATTGAACAGATAACTATACAGAACTTTAAGCAATAAATAAGGTTGTTGCCTTATTTATTGCACATCTGTTACCATACGAGAGTAAAACCCTATCAATAACTATAACAATAACAATATATATCAACAATTCACATTGTATTCATATAAAATAATACTAAATTAAAAATAAATATTTGAAATAAAAAGAATAAAAATAGTAATTGTTCATGCAGACAATCACAAGACTAATTCTAGCCACATCATATTATAGGCAATTTGACTATAAATTAGGCAATGACCTTGTATGCCTATTTAAAAAAAAAGTAAACAATATATAAAAATGTCCGATGAATCTTTAAGCACAAGGTCTAAGGTCTTCTAATTACCGTGCAAGCGTTTATGTTATTTAAGGCTTCCTTTTCCAGAAAAAGTATTTTTGAAAACGTAACATTTTTAAGGCTTTTCAACAGTGTGCACGCGTTCATGTCTTGTAAGGTGTGCTTTTCGAGAAAAAGTATTTTTGCAAACATTACATTTGTAGGGCCTCTCGCCAGTATGCACACGTTCATGTCGTGCAAGGACATTTTTTCGAGAAAAATTCTTTTTGCAAACGACACATTTGTAGGGCTTTTTACCGGTATGTACGTGTTCATGTCTTGTAAGGTTAGTTTTTTGTGAAAAAGAATTTTGGCAAACATCACATTTGTAGGGCTTTTCACCGGTATGTACGCGTTCATGTCTTGTAAGGTGTACTTTTTGAGAAAAAGTACTTTTGCAAACATTACATTTGTAGGGCTTCTCGCCAGTGTGCATTCGTTTGTGTTGTGTGAGGTTAAAATTTTTAGAAAAATGCTTAAGGCAGACGTCACATTTATAGGGTCGGCTGATGTTCACGTATGTCTTAGTAAACTCATTGCAATGTATAGTGTTGAGTTTTTGGGGACAGTGTTTATCCGTTGAAATTTGGTGGGATTTTAAAATATGTAAAGTTATTTGTTTTTTTGTGCAGTACATTTTTTGACATAAATTACATTGGAAAAACCGCCGGTTTGTTATATCTTCATTGGTGGAGTTAGTTGCTGTTTTTGTATTGTTTTCTGTTTCAATCCTCGATTCAAAATAACGACCATCAGTTTTTTTATTCACTTCATTTCTCGTACGATTTTCACTACAACAAAACATTGACGAACAATAAATTATAACGTTTTTTAAAAAAAATCCTTTTCAAAATTGTATACTATTATTTTAATTTCCAATTTGACCTAACTTAATGTATTGAATGTACAAAAATTACAGGCAAGTAAATTTTAATCGTCTGTTGAATGAATGTTGATATAACATTTATGAACCTTTAATGGAAAAATCGGTTTCTAAGAAAAATATTTGTTTATCAAATCTATATAGAGCATTTATTGTATTTTTGTTTAACGACAAAACCATTTATAATTTAATATAATTAACTGAATACAGTTAGCCATACCTAAAAGTATTTTTGTAGTTTGTTGTTTGCAAATCCAAAAGACCACTGTTTTTAACTTCGACTTTTACTTTTTTATTAATGCAAGTTTTTCCGACACTAAAAACAAAAACATATATATTTATTAAAACTAAAAGTTTAATAAAAACAACAGGAATGCCGCCTATGAGCAATGAGTGCTAACATAGAATTATGAGCAACTAACATATATAATACAGGTGTTGTATATTAACTACAGGAATAAGAATAGAAGACTAATTAGTATCAGCAAAAATACGGGAAGGCACTAGAAAAGGGTGTCCAATGTTGTTTAATGTATTTGTCGCACAACCAATCTAAAAATACCTCAACAGACTCAATAGACAAAAAAATAGGAGTGACGGTCGGAGGAGCACTTATACATAACACACGAATAGGAACTAAATCAAAGAATAGTGAAAGGACACATAGAATGCAAGAGAGGCAGAAGCCAACCTAGAACAACGATAAACAATAAAATTATTAAAAATGCCGAACTGAGAACCTACAGAGAACTAACAAACTAGCTATTAATAGAGAAGAGTGGAGGAAGTATGGAAGAATGCTATAAAACCAACCTAATGGTTGAATATCAAAGAAGAAGGATTACTTGTAAGCATTCTCGTTGATCGTTTTTTGATGTTCCTTCAATTGCATATCAATATTTTCTGCTATATCAAATATAGACTTGTAATAATAATCGTCGGTCTCACCTTCTTCAATTTTAATTCTTGGCTCGTCTTCAGTTTCATTAGGTCTAAAACACAAAGTACATTTTAAAAAATAAGGTTTTTAATTTGATATATTATTATGGAAAGATAATAAACTACAAGTTTCAGCCTTAGTCGGTAGATGTCTTTCAAGTACTAAAAAAATGAAAACGGACAATAAAATTAAATAATGCTATTTATCGGGACCGGTCCTATTCATAAAATATTACTTGTATTTGCTAACTCAGATCAACTAAGCTGTTCCTAAATTATGTTATTAAAACTTGGTCCTAGTTTAACAACTTTTTAAGAACTCCAGATCAGACCATTGACTGCATATTTTTTTGTCAATACCAAAATCATTTTATGATTTTTTTAGAATTTTAATTATCAATAACATACAATTTATAAGTCCAAAATTAGCTCAATTAATACCTCAAAAATTAAATCTAAATTCTAAACCTATTCGGACTAATTATTTACCTGAACTGCTGAAAATTTAAATAATGAAAATACATAACAAACTAGGTAACCTAAGAGGCTGCCAAACTACCATATTATTTACGAGTAAAATTCCATCAAATCATTTTTCATGCTTGAAATGTTGTCTTATTTTGAGTGAACAAAAAGCCAAATCTCATTCACCATTAAAAAGATAAAAAGTTCAATTATGTACAAAGTAAAATAACTAATAAATGAAAAAAACTAAAAATAAAATAAATAAGCTTTGCCTACTGTTAAAAACGTTAATATTTGTAGTCCGAGACCTAAATTAATAAGAGACCTGTTCTCCTAACAGAGCAAAACCAAACTAAAAAAAAAAATAGTTTTTTCTTTAAATTCGTACTACAGATTCAGTCCAGTGTGAGCTTCGATGATAACACTGCTACTAAATTACTACCGTATACTACTTACTACTCATAAGTGTATTTTTTTAAATATTTTATACAACAGAAATATATACATCAATAAGTTCTGTTCAAATGTTTACTAGCTAACAAAAATAAATAGACAACTAGTATTTAACTCTGTGAAAGAACACATAATAAATGCCGCAAATGTAAACCGAACCAAACGCTTAGCACCTATTTACCCATGAATAACTCAAGAAATATTGATATACAACAAAGTAACATATACAGGCAAAAAGAGACTCGTAACAATACCGAAAAAGTTATACAGTGCCCTCCACTTCATGCTTTCATCATAGATTAAATAATGTTTTATCTAATCTGTGGCTCCATCTTGAAATGCTAATAACGCGAGAAGTAAAATTTCAAACACGGCTATCGAACAGTCATAGTTAATATTATATTTCTCCACAATAACTCAATCATATTATGCGTAAGTTGCTATTTGATTAATTTGTTAGGAAAAGACTACTCTGGTATTTTTAAATTTAAAATAGACTTACTCGAAACCATTATCGACTTCTTTTTTAATTGGAATATCTTCTATCTTAGAAATACCATTGTGCATTGTTGTGATATGATGTTTCAATTGCGTTTCGGATGTAAACGATTCTAAACACAATTTGCATTTTTCGTCTGCAAAGTTGTTTGTTACTCTCATGTCAATAGACGTCGCTTGTTCAACTTGTTTCAACGATTCAAAGCAATAATCTCCCATTTCATCAAATTCGTGTTTTACATTAACCTCGTTGATCATTTCATCATCTCTAGAATTTTTTTTTTTACATTAGTAGTTTATTTATAGTTTTATTAAATTGTTCAATAATATTACGACCAGAACTTCTGTAGCGATGGGAAATTATGTAAATCGTCATAATTTCCCATTTCATAAGATTTGTCCTAAAAAATGTGTATTTATTGTAAACTTTTCTCACCCGAGTCTCTTCCCGGCACCTTTTCTTTGGCGACTTTTTCGGGCCGAAGAGAACATATTATTGTGCGATGGATAATTCAATATTTTGGAAGTTGACCACTTTTCGACACGAGTTGCAATCAAACAATTTTCATCCGTTCGACGTTTCCCGTGGACAGTTTGACACTTATAAATCGTTATAGAATTGTTATATTCTGAGGCAATATGACAATAATTATACCAATAAAGGTTTATAATGTGTTTCTCGCGTTTGTTGACAAACACTAAATAAAATGCACTGATAGTCGAGACTATAGAGAGTTTGATACGAGGGTCAATATCGATTAGATGTATTTTGTTTAAGCCCCGCGCGCTTCAATATTTACCTTCATTGCGTTCTACCTCCAGCCGACCATCCCGAACCGCGGTAGTCGCTGTTATCACATGCTGTAGACTACTCCGTGTTAGTGCACTTAGTTTGTATGTATCATTTATCACGCAGTATAATATAATGTTTAAAATTTAATGTTTACACTAACTAACTACTAAGGCAGTCGTGCCTGTGGTTTTCTTTACAAGTTCATACTCGCTGTGCGGTACATAATATAATCGAAAAACATTCCAGATGAGCGCTGTGCCGTGTGGTCTGCAAATCTGGGAATCTCGAAGTAGCCGTGTAAAAGGTAAGTACATTATCACCACTAACAACAGTTTACACCAGTTTTATTTACTTTAATAAGATCAAACCACAGTTGTAAGGTGTTCAATGACGATTTTTAAAACAATTAAAATTATTGTAGCTATGCAAAATTTAGACTTACAGACTGAGGTGCGTAGGTATCAACGGCCGTAGGGATGAAAACGTTAGTTTACAGCCATCCGGTGTATTTTTAATGTGTATCTTGAGATAAGCCTGTCAATTTTTATCAGAAATGGTTATTCGCAACTGCTGCGCAGTATTTTTTCATCATATTGTAGACCATCGTAATTTATATTAGGCTGTGAAACGCCTTATAACTTTAATTACCATTACTTTTATTTACATAATATAGTGTTAATAACACAATATTATTGCTATACTAATCACACATTGTTCTTTAGGTTCTTTTAGCTTTACCAATTAGCCAATTTTCTCAATTTCGTTTATTATTAAAAATAATATAATGATAATCACAGCAATATCAAAAATAAATATACGCATTGACGCCTATTAAAGTAGCAGTGATTTAATAAAAGTTAAATTGTTTTATGTTTGGCAAAAAATATTTTTATTTTTTATTAATAAGAAAATGGTTATGGCTACTAATAATATATTACGGATGGATTTTTTATTAATTCTTCTTTGATCAAATTTTAGTTTAAATAATGCTGAATAGGGGGGGTGAATTATTTTCATATATTTTTTTTTAATATAACCAATCTATTATACGTCTCAATTTGTATCAAAAATTGTTACTGTTATTTAGTAGTCATTATTCACGTGTTTTCATTTATACGTTCTCTCTAAACAAGTATAATCAACATATTATGTTTGGCAGAATTTTGTTTTAAATTAAATTAATTATTTAGAGTAAATGAAAAATATTTGTATTTCTTGGTAAAGCAAAATGGCATTTTTATTATAAAGGAAATAATTAAGGCTATGTTTTTTGTTATTTATTTATCTTAGGTTTTCAAGTATATTCTACGTATTAAAAATTTAATGATGTTTGGCAGAAAATATTTTATTTCTTTTTTAGATTGTTTTATATTCCTTCTTTGAACAATTTTTAGTTTAATCAATTCTGAATGAATGAACTATTGTCATATTGTTTTTTATTATAAACAATCTAGTAAATGTGTTAGAAGTCCAGTGACATTTACTTATTTATTATTATAAAATTGTTACTATTATTAATTAGTAGTTATTTGTTTGTTTTCATTAATACTTTCTCTCTAAACAAATATAATTTATTTTTGGCAAAATTTGTTTTTTTAAATTAATTATTTTGAGGTAAATGAAATATATTATTAATTTATGGTTAGAGGATATTGGTATTTTTATTATATAAAAGAAATGATTAAGGCTATGTTTGTATAATAATACAAACATAGCTTTAATCATTTCATTTTGTGTTAGGTAAACTAGTAGTACATCATTCTTAAAAGAAAATGCATAATTTTTTACTGGCTGTAGCTATTTGAACCTTCTAAAATTGTAATTATGGTTTGCTATTCATTACTAGATGATATTTTCGTAAAACGTCTTAGCCCTGTTGGGTATTTTCAACCTGCATTCATGTTTCATTTATGTGTGTTTCAAGCTGTAGTCATTTATATAATTAAACTAAAGTTCCTGTCCTAATTTTATAAAATATTTTTTGTTTTTAGAGTTCAACTTGTGAGAAACTTGCTAAAAATCAGAATTGTAATGGAAAATTATAACTACAAGACTGTGATTAAAATAGAAGAAGAAAATGAAGACACAGAAGAGCAATACACTAATGCCTCAGTGAAAAAAACAAAACCTAATTACATTGATGAATCAAACAATAGCTATCCGACAATCCACCATTCTCCAAAACCACTCTATGGGGATGCATATAAGTAAAATATATTTTTTTTTAATTAAAATAGTTTAAATCAATTTTATTAAGAAATAATTATGTTATTACGGTATATAGTGTGGTCTAAAATGTTTTATTATGGTCACTTTTCCCAAACACTAATAGTTAGAAAAAAAAATTTGTTATTAATGTAACATCTTAATTAACGATAACTTCCAAATAAAGGGACCATAAATAATTGTATTATTAATATTCAATCTAATTGTAACTTGTGGTATAAGCACATCTTCTTGGGGAAAAAAGAGAATATTATTTAATTTTGAATAACATTTTTTAAAAATATTTTAACCGATCTTATTATTGATTTCAGTATGTATGGTAGAGTTAATAGAATAGCACCGTATACTTGTACGATTAGATTATTCTTACTTTCAGACAAGGGAGTAAAGGTTTCGGTCTTGAGAAAGATTTGGTACTCTTATTTTATAAAAAATTTTTACCCCTCAATGCCCAATCCATGTCGAATAACTCTCATTTATTAGTCACCTTGAACGAGCAATACTATGTTAAGAGGGCATCGCACTGGTGATTTTCAGTGGTAAAAACATGTTTACGCCAACTGAAAATAACTCGCTTAATTTTGGTTTTAGAGTAAAAGCACCCATTATAAAATTAAAAGAGAACAATATTCGGGGGGGAATTGATTTTTTTAAAAAATCATTTAAAAATGTTAAAATAGTCGTTATTGCTAAACAATATATTAAGCATTATACTTGGAATAATGAAAAAACCGCACCGTGGTGCCTCCGGGATATTTCTTTCTTTTAATTTTACAATGGGTGCTTTTACTCTAAAACTAAAATTAAGCTAGTTATTTTCAGTTTTCTTTAACATGTAGAAATGAAAAAACATTTTTAAATCGCTTTCAAGGATGCTGTGATAGTCCGAAAAATAAATTAACTACCAAAAGAGAGTTGTTCCAAAGCCACTCTATGAGGATGCATATAAGTAAACTTTTTTTTTTTAAATTAAAATATTTTTAATCAATTTTGTTAAGAAGTAATATTGTTATTCCACCGGTTATAGTCTGGTCAAAAAACCCTCAAACAGGGACAAGTTGGTCACATTTCTCAAACACCAATAGTAAAAAAAAAAAAAATTTGTTATTAATGTAACAGTATCTTAATTAACGATAACTTCCAAATATTGGGACCACAAATAATAATTTTATTATTAATAATAAAGCTACACGTTAACTTGTGTGGAATAAGCAAGTTTTCATAGGGAAAAAAGGGGGAATATTATTTTGTAATATTTAATTTTAAATAACATTATTAAATGTTAGAGAAAACATCAGTTAAATGTCAGTTAAAGTTCTTTTAACTAACCTCATAACTCAAATTTCAAGATGCATATGATATGATAGATTTAATAGAATAGTACACCGTATACTTGTTCAAACAAGTACACGGTGCTATTCTACTAACGTTTACACAAGGGAGTGAAGGTTTCGGTCGTAAGAAAACTTTGGTCCTCAATAACTCTCATTTATCAGTCACCTTAACGAGCGATCGATTGAATGTTGCGTTGTCGTCTACCGTGGGAGGCTGTTGGGCCGTCGTGTAGTCGGATATATTATGTAATATGTATACGAGATAGCATAATATGTAAAGATTGATTACTTGTAGCAAGAGTATTTTCTTAGCGTTGTAGTAATATATATTTATGTTGTTTTTAGTGTCAGTGAAACATGCAACGAAACAGTAGTCCAAGTCGAAGTAGACATTGTGAACGGATATACGTTTGAGTCAGTGATAGAATACCAAAAAAATGGGCCTTTGGACGTGCGAACGAAGAAATACGGTCTAGACGAATTACAGCAATTTGTCTGCGAAATATGTAGCAAGGTGTTTACGACCAAAACGAAAGTGGCTAAACACATAACCCGATTACATAGTACAATAACCCAGAAAAAAACAGCAAATAAAGTTGTCAAAAGTAATTATGTGTCATTTTCTCGAAAACAACTGGTCGCACAACACAAACGCCGCGTACACGCTGGGGAAAAGCCTTTTGAATGTTTCGTATGTTTAAAGTCGTTTGCTGTAAAATCATGCCTCACAAAACACCAACGTGTTCACACCGGGGAAAAGCCCTACAAATGTGACGTTTGTTTAAAATCATTCTCAGTAATATGTAACCTCATAGCACACAAACGCGTTCACACTGGGAAAAAGCCTTACAAATGCAATGTGTGCTCAAAGTCATTTTCTGCAAAATCCGGCCTCACACAACACAAACGAGTGCACGCCGGTGAAAAGCCCTACAGTTGCGACGTGTGCTCAATGACTTTTTCTGGAAAATCCAGCCTCACACTACACAAACGAGTTCACACTGGGGAAAAGCCCTACACATGCGACGTGTGCTTAATGACTTTTTTTGCAAATTCTAGCCTCAAACAACACGAACGCGTTCACACTGGGGAAAAGCCTTTTAAATGTGCTGTATGTTTTAAGTCGTTTTCTTTAAAAATCACCCTCACAGAACACCAACGCGTGCACACTGGTGAAAAGCCCTACTCATGTGACGTGTGTTTAAAGTTATTTTCTTACAAATCCGGCCTCTGGAAACACGTAAGAGTACATACTAATGGCTAATGTGTGTTTTAATATTTTTATCATAAACCTGAAACTATTACAACCTAGACCGAGAAGTTCAGTCAATAATTTATATGATGTATTTTGCCATTTAACTTGTTCATTTTTAATTGTTAATAATTGGAACTTATTAGGGTACGTGTTAATTATTTTAATCCCTAGATTTAATGTTAAACAAAATAACCGAAAAAATTGTTTTGTAATATTAGCTGATTAACCCCACTTTATGTAATTGTTTGACTATTTTTTATTTGGATATATCAAAAAATGTGTCATTAAATCGCTCATATAATATACAATTATGCAATATGTAGACATTTTTAATGACTACATTTTGACTTTAAAAAAAATGGTTTTTTTCTGAATTTTAATTTAATAATAAAAGTACTCGTTTTTGCTTAATTAATGTTACCTAATCATTAAATTAAACGTATTGTGTAAATATTAGTACAATTTTTGTGAACACACCAACGATAAATGGACGTTTATGTAATTTGTTTTATTAGCGATAAATAATTTTCAATTTATATTGTATTGTTCTGTGTGAATAATTTTTATAATTTTTATTTTATTTTTTATTTTTTTTATATAATTCGTGTAAAAGTTAATTTTATTATGACGATTGTGAAATTAGGAAAAAAGTCCCTATTAATTATTTATATATTTTTATAAACATTTGTTTTAAAACTCATAATAAAATCTATTGGTAAAGTAGTTATGGTTTACATCGCCCTATGCCACACAATCCCGTTTATGATTTAGTATATTAATTTTAAGAAAATAGTTAAGAAACTTATCTTTATTGCAAATTGTAGTTAGATATTTATCAATTCTCTAATAAATATCGTATACTATATTAAAACTATACAACTTCATTAATACCTATAACTATACAAATTCATAATATTAAATTACATTATAATATAGTATATACCTAACTTAAAAGTATATGGTATAATTTGGTATAAAATTATAATAGTTTTATTAAAATTTCCCACAAATTATATTTTATATTACGTTTAAAAATAAAACATTATTTTTACTTGTTACCTAAATTAGTTGACGATTTCAGGATTTGGCTGTCGAGTATAAATTAGTTTTATCACATCTTACATAATATTTATTCTGTAGTTAAAGACTACAGGTAGGAGCTTATGAGCTTTGTCTTCAATCTTGTCTTTTAAAAGATATATTATTAACAAAATTTGGTACCTAAAGGATACAATAGAGCAAGGAAAACGGAACATATGACACTTGTAGTTTTAATTACATAAATAAGTAGAATAAAACACATATTTAATTTTCGGGTTTCCACACAAAACAATATAGACATTATCAGTATATTATAGTCCAAAGTGTATAGTCCATTTCTAACCAAGTCAATAATTAAATTAAAAGAATAAGAACGTTACAGATGAAATGTTCATTTTTTTTATGTATGCAATATATTTTATTATTTAAATTGCTCATAAAAGCCAAGTTTGTCAACAGGTTTTGAAAATGTACAAGTTTACAGGCCAATTTTGTATGCTCTTAAAAATACCTAAACAAGATTGTATCAAGCTTGGAGATTATACATAAATAAAGGGTACATGATATTATGTTATGACTGTTATTTAATTATTTTGTATTTATTAAATACATAACATTAATTTTTATAATAATAATTAACAAAAAATATTTAAAATTTTTTAGCATAGGTTGTTCATTGGTGGTTTCCCTTAGTTTTTACTGGATAGACAACTCAAGTTGACATTTTACCGGCACCCGACTTACCAATTCAAGGTATGGTGCCGGCTTTTGTTGTGCTATCTTCATAATCATATTATACTATCAATGGGCAAGTTATAACACATAAGCTTATATTTTAAGGTGTGCGTTTTCAAGTTATTATCAAAAGTTAAAATATTTAGTTTTTTTTTATAAGTGATTGCACCTTCTACGTTAAACAATTTCTTGTATTTTGGCCACAGGGTGTTCCACTAGTTTCGTTGATTGTCAAACTAAAGTTTTACATTTCCATTCTATTTGTGATAATTATTTGTACCTACTTCCGAAGCTGTAATATTGTTCGTGTAATCCTTAACCGTTCCTCTTTATTTTAGATTCATGTGTACTGTTAAGGCCTCTGGAGACCGGCCATTTTTAAGGAGTTTTGTGTAGGCAACAATTAATAAAAAAGTGGTTTTAATCAATTTCGACCATGTCAATTAGTTTACCGGTTAATTTATATAAGCTTCATGGTATTATTTTTAATTTAAATCATTTTGTCTATGAGTACGAGCCATTTTAGTTAATATAATAGTTTTAAGTAATTGCGCATTTATTCGCCACTCTTTAAACGTTTGTTTAAATAATGTGGTAAGAAATTGTTTATACTTCTACTTGCATGTACATTTTTTGTCCGTAAAATGTATTAACTATAACATCGTGTAAATTGAAGAATAACCGATTTCTATAAAATGCGTTCGATACTTGTAATGTAATGTCATGCTATGTAATGCGTTCACATTTCTTGTAAAACATAAAATGATTATGGACAAAACACCAAACGTAAGGCCGTAAAAATGCTTTACTAGAAACTTAGTCTTTACTCAGCTGTGCGACACTCGAAATCAATACCTATTTTTTAAACGCCTTTTGACTGTCTTTCGACAACCGGCCACGCTAGGCACTCGAGTAGAAAATATCCCTACTAAAGCACACGAGTGCCACAATTGGTTCTTAAAAGTTAAAATATCTGTGATTGATTTAAAAAACTATTATGAAAAACACGGCAAAATTATTTTGGCTCCTTTTGACGGTAAGAGATTATGTATAAATTGTTTTTTATTTCGAACACAATTATAAAAAAAAAAAACCAGACAGCGCAAAACTTTAAATATTACAACAACTATTGTTTAACCATTTTTGCATTCAGAGTTATTCCATCACCGTGGCAATGGAATATGAACCGTCTCAACTGGTCGGTCAGGTACACCCTAGGGCACTGAAAGCGTTTTTGGAGACACAAGACGATATGAAAGAAATGTTAACGTTGTATGACTTGTTCTGGACACGCGTCAAAGGCGGAATTCTTTCAAACGATTTTGTCTGGTATTGTCGTTCGATAAACAAATCGTTTACCATATTGTTCGACAAGTACTTCAGCGACACGGACAAATGGAACGGAGCCAAACCGTTAATAATCGCCAAACAAAACGAGCTGATGCCAGATGAGAGCATTGACGATTTAATATGGGTTCCTACTGGGGTTTTCGATGTCCGTTTAGTGGACGAAGAAAAGGTATGTGTTTTATTGTGCCTACTTAAGCGTAGTTGTGTAACAAATAATCCGAAATAATCAAAAAATCCGGATTTTGTTGTTTTTTACCTTAAATTCTACTTAATGTGCTCAACGTCATTGTTTGGCAAAAATTAATAAACGTTTTACTTGTTACTGTTTACAAGTACATTTATTACAAAACATTAATAAAACAATCCAAAATGGATTTAAAAAAAAAACCGAAATCTGTAATTATACAGTAATATTCCGATTCTAAATTCAACGCATCTGGATTTTTTCTACTATTAGTTAACATAATGTTTTATGTATTTACACATAAAATGTTTAAAAGCTAGCTGACACTAATTATGTTTTAGGAGTTTAAGTACTTTTTAATCAATTCGAGACCACCTCATGAGTTTTTAGAAGACATTCCCCCTCCGTCAATTATACAAGTCCTGGAATCACATCCAAACATGAATGAACTGCTTACGTTGTATACAATTTATTGGACATATGCCGAAAAAGAAAACCCCGAGTTTGAAAAGTTTTGCCAATACTTAAAGTACGCATTTGATTTTCTATTCGACAGGTTTTATAGTGCTTCCCTGAAAAAAACACTCATCTTAATTGAGATAATGAGAAAAAACATTTGAGAGGAAAACTTTAAGCCAGACTCGTTATTTCATGAAAGATAATTTATGATAATTAATGTGTAAATTATTAATTGTTATTATTTGTCATGACTATTTTTTTTTTAACATAAATAAATTTCCAAATTGTTTTATTTAATCTGTTTTTACAAGTTAATATGAATTCCATAGCACCAAAATGTCTATTAAAGATCATTCAGCGTACAGTTTTTTATACTCAAGAGATATTTTATTATAATATAAGATAAAATATTATATTTTTATAATAAAAGTTATCAAACAAATTATTACAATTATTGTAATATTTTGTTTTACTCTAAACATATTTTATGAAGAACTTTTTTCCTTTTTTAAACTTAAAAATGGATACAAAATATATTTTGTCCAATTGAAACTTGAAAATAACAAACAATGTAGATAAAACGAAATCTGTTACCAGCGCAATGTTTGAAGAAAAAACATAGTTCATCTCTTATGGTCAAGGGCAAGATTTACGGTTTTTTTTACATACCACCTACAAGAAGAAAATTGTAAAAACGCCTCTGCTGATAATAATACATCAACATAATTTACACGATTTATTTAAGTAAACGTTATTTAAACATGGTTATGTTTTAGGGCTGAGGGTCTGATCTAAATTTGGCGTCATCATACTCCCGCTACTATTTTTCCAACAGTGATAAGAAACAGCTGGCAAAAGATTAGTGATAAGTGAATAACGATTACAGACAGCTGTTATTTGCTCTGGATAAAAGAAAGACGATTAGAAGAGATCGGTGACAAATGAAGGGGAGGATAGGAGAACGTAGATAGATAGAGGGAGGGGGGAATTGACAGCCCAAAAACGTATCCATGATTCAATGTATTTCCGTAAAGTGGAGAAAATGAGGTTTGACATTTTTTTGTTGAAAATTATGTATTAACATGGTATACCACTTGTAGCTTTTGTCTTATGCGCCGAACATTGATACTCGCGGACGTCCGTCAACACGGAGACGACCGTGCCAACGAATCGCTTATGGTGCTCAGCTCTTTGACCAGCTGTTCCAAATTCTTGGGTTTCCCCCGGGAACCGTCGGGTTTCTTGCAACAGTCGCCGGTTATGTTGTCCAACACTTTGCCGAAGTCGGCCAGCTGTAGATCTATGTTTTTGCCGGAGCAAGCGCCGGCCGGGTTGGGCACGAGCTGTTGATTGAACTGCAGGTCGGCAATGGTTTTCCTCAGTTCGCAAACGGTTTCCTTCTCGGCCGCGTACGATTTCCTCACGTTGGCCAAGTCCTCCTCGAGCTGATCTACCTTGCGGTTGGCCGAATCCAAGCAACACTGCAGCCGGTTCTTGGCTTCGGAGACGCACCTGTGTTCCTCGTCGGCCGCCCGCGTTTGCTCATCGTGGCACCTGGCCGCCGCTTCCAGTTTGTTTTGCAGCTCTTTCACCAGCTTGCTGAGCTTTTCGTTTTCGCACTTCAACCGGGCCGACTCCTTGGCGCAAACGGACATTTTGCAGTTCAGCTCTTCCGCCGCCGCCTCCAGACACTGTTTGTCGTTGGTCAGCTTCGCTATGCGCTCGTCCGACTGGCACCTTTCTTTTTCCAACATGCACTTGATCTCGTCGTTGCGCTGTTTCATGTCCAACGTTTTCCTGTTCAACTCTTGTACCGTGGCGTTCTGCTCGGCCAAAACGTTTTCCATCTCGACTTTGTCTTTGTCCATGATCTCGATCTGCGACTCCAGGGTTTCCTTTTCTTTTAGCGTTCTCTTCTCGTTGATCGCCGCTTCGTTTTTGATCTGCGCGCAATTCTCGCGTTCCAAATCCAATTTGCCCCTGACCATTCGCAAGTCGGATTTCAACTTGGTCAACCGCTCGGCCTGTTCGTCCACCGTTTGTTTGGCCCTGTCCAGCTCGCCGGTCTTCTGTTGCAAGCACGCCTCTTGGCTCTGGTATTTACATTTGAACGCGTCCAAGTTACTCAACTCCTCGCACAGCCGTTTTTCCAGAAGTTGTATTTTCTCTTGCGAGCATTCCTTCTGTTTTTCCAATTGTTTCGCCCGGTCGTTTGCTCTCGCGGTCCTTTCGTTCAACTCCAAAAGTTCAGCGTTGGCACTCGCTATCTCGGACTTGCTCCTGTCCAAATCTCTCTTGGTGCTCTGGTACATGCACCACACCTCTTCGTGCCCTTTCGTCAACTGACCGAACATATCTTTTTGTTTCCTTATTACGTCGTCCATCCATTTGGACAAGTCGGCCAATTGTTTTTTCAATTCTTCCTTCTCTTCCGTCACCTCATCGAAAAGCGACAACTTTGCTTCCAGCTGTCTTATGTGATATTTCAAATCTCCGACGTTGTTCGACAGTACTTTGCATCCACTTTTATACTGTAAATAAAGTGTCGATAATTGTCCAATTTATCAATAATTCTTAATTTCAAAAAACAATCACTTACACAACCCGAAGGCGAGATCATCTTTGTTAAAAAGCTATTTTTTGTGGTGGCCGCCGGAAAATTTTGTAAATTGTTTTAAAAACGAACTATTAACATAACCTTTTTTTTTTTTATTACCATTTATATATTTAAAAAAACCCATAGTAACAGTAACACTTGGCCAATATTTTAATACAAATTCAACGAATTTCAATATATTTCATAAAAAATTGTACCTACATAAATAATAACCTTATATATTAATAATAATAATACAAATTAAACTAAACTAATGAACGTTGGTGACGAGAACTATAGAGTGATATGTGAACTTAGTAAGATAAAAGCTGTAGTTTTTATAGTAATAATATAAATAACTAACAAACTTTTCGAAAATTCTATATAGATACTAAGAGCCAAGAAAGTATAAAACGTGTAAATAACCTTATTATGTCTAATACCTTGTTATTATGTCCACTTTATTTCCCATATATTGAATTGGAAATATTCTCTTCGTAATAACTTCCTTGTCCTCAACTCTATTAACTTATCAACTCTAGTTTCCCGTCACGTTGATGTCAACCATTCATTAATCACCTCTTTTGACAGCGAACGGCCTTTAGTTCCACTGTCGCTCCTAAAAAACTCTTTTCCATATTTGTCTAGTCTCCTGTGACACAATCAGCAAAATGTTACCACCCTTAAAAATAATCAATCAACCGTACTCTGATATTATTGCCGCTTTTTTCAGTTCATAGTATATTGTATAACATTCTAATTTAAATAGAATTTAGTATTTTATTAATAATTAACACAACCGAATACTGTTCAAATTGTAAGTGTAATGTTTTAAAGTAGAGTTAAGATCACCGAGATCAAAAATAATTAAATTGTTATGCAAATAATGTTTTTTTAAGGCAGGTGTTATTTCGCCAGAAATATCTACCCACACCGTCTAGACATAGTTTAAATGTTTTCGTTTCTTAATGTGTTTTTAAAATCGGTAATAGAGTCAAAACGTAAATAATATGTTACATTTAAATGGCAATGTGTATGAGTGAAGGTGAAGGAGGACAGATTATTTTTAGACATCAACTATTTATATTGATATACAATCAGCAAATACGTATTTTTAGGTATTATTAGATTCCATATTAGCAGCCATTAACATTAACTTGATACTGAAACCAACCAGACATACCACATTTTCCCACTTAGTGAAGTGTCTATTATAAAAGTGATATATGAACTACTGTCAATAATCTTCAGATGTATCATATATTATTATCAACTTGTATACATATCGTTTATAATTCATAGCGTGCTCGCGCCAAAGAAAAAAATGAGCCGAGTTTTTGTGTGTACTCAGTTTATACTAAAACAAAGCAACAATAAAATAAATACAAAATGGTTAGTACAAATAAAATAAATTGCACTGTATTGTAAACTCAAATTGATAGCATCATAGTTGAATTTGTAGTTTAAATAGGAAACATTATAACTAATTAGACTATAAAACATATTTTTGAGTTGCCATGAAGAATTTTACTTGTGTACAATTAATGTTATTAATGGTAAGCTTAATTTATATCATTTAATTTAATTTTATAAGTGTTTAAAAATAAATAAATTTTGTAGAATTCCAATTTTATTAAAAAAATGATGAAAATATATTTGAGTGCTTTTTTTTACAGTATGTTATTAAAATAAACATTTATTGTAACCATTTTCATAACAAAATTATTCAATTGAAAAATGTATAGAATAACCTTTAATCAAACAGTTTTTAATTCAATTTAATTAATTACAAAACTTTTCCAAAAAATTTCAATAGGTTATTAAATTAATTTTTGGATTTAAGTCTAGAATATTGTAGAATATAATATAGAAAAAAATTGATGAGTAATAAATTATTTTTACTGTATAATTCGTATGTGGTATAATCATGACCAATTTACGTTATCCAGTTAACAGAGAATAATCGTATTCTTATTGTTATGAATTAATTCATAAAAATCAAATAAATACTCGTTATTAGTTAACAATGACGGGTGATGATTTAACCGAGACTCAAATGTCAAGTTGTTTTATAACAAAAACTAAATCTAATACATGTTTAAAATCATTTAATACGGAATTAACTTTGTAAAAATAAAAAAAAAAATCAGCACTATGCAAATTTAGACCGGAGTAAGTTAAAGTGACATCATTACACGAAAATTTTACACCTGGTAAGTTGCAACCGCAGCTAAAATAAACGACATATTATAAACCAGAAAAAACCTTTAATTTTATGTACAATTTTTTTTATCATTAAAATGTCTATGTTAATTTGTTTAGTTAAAAAAAAAGTGCCTTAATCTTAATGAATCACTCTGTAGATTTCATTGAGAAATTCACTTGGACGAAGATTTTAAATGACAGCCACATTTGTATTTAATTTAGACGCTCGCGATGAACATGGCCGAAGTGGAAAAACCTCATGAAATGATTAACCAGATCCATCCGAATGTAATTATACAGTACATGCGATTACGAAGCGACATGGGAGAACTGCTAGCGTTGTACAAATTGTACTGGAAGCACGTGGAGGGCGGAATAGTCCAACGCAAATTCAAACTCTATTGTAACATTTTGTTCAACGCGTTTAATATTTTGTTCGACCTGTACTTCAGCGACGCAGACAAGTTTAACGAGGCTAAAGCCATTCTAATCCATTTGCACAACGAGAAATACCCGGACGAAAGAGTCGACAGTTTAGTGTGGAACGCTGAATCGACTTTTGAAATCCACGTGCAGTCCAACCCTGAAGTATGTTTTTTTGGTCGACCAATATATTTTATATTAAATAGTATTTAGTCGGTTGAGAGTATTTGGCGTTCCGTAACATCATTCTCGCTATTAAAAAATAGATAATCAATGTGCCTTTACCTCAAAGAGCAAAAATATATAGAGCTGTAACATCATATAATGACTTGTACTCAGCAATGAAGTAACCAAGAAGGCGAACGACAGTATGACCATTTTTAATTTAAAAAAAAATACTCTTTTACAAGTTGTTAAATAATGCACGGTATCATCCTTATACATTTTATAGACCAATAAATAAATTAAAATTCCATATGACATAACTGATAACTGTCTTTTGTTTCGAATCACGCGGTTACAGTAGTGAAATAATTTAAAAAATATGTGCTAGAGAAATGTTATTTCGTTATTATGGTCACACTGTTGCTCGCTTTTTTGCTTACTTCAAAGTATTTTACTAATTTCGACCCCCTGCTTTACCCGCACTCTAGTCTAATTTGTTTAATTTACTAAATGGTTTTAGGAAGGGTACTCCTCCGAAGAGTTGAAAATGAGTCGACCTCACGATAGGATAAGACGATTTCACCCTTTAGCACTTATCGAGTACATGAAGTCACAAGACGATATGGAAGAGTTGCTCGTATTGTACTATTTGTATTGGAGACACGAACACGAGAACATCCAAAGCTGCACAGACGGTTTGGAAGATTATTGTTATTTATTATTGAACGCCTACAACATACTGTTCGACACGTACTATAGCGGCACCAAAGACATTGAAAAAGCCATACTGGTTTTGAAAAATATTGAAAATGAAATTTTAGCGAAGCAAACAAAAACCAAAACGGAGAAATTAAAAACGGAGGTGGTTAATTTGTTTTTACAGTTTTGTTACAGTGCAGGAATATAGGTAAATTGTACCGGTAGAAAGTCGCTAACATGGTCTGTTGATTGTTTGTCATTGTTCTGTATTTAATCCTATTCATGTATTTTTGTTTTTACCTCATACCTTATCACATACATGCTCTAATACTTTAAGTACACTTACCAAGTAGAAAATATATTTATAAAACACAACGTAATTTACCAATTTTTAATTACGTGCTCCCATTCATTACTCTTTTATATCCACCACAACTACTAAAGTTCATCGTATCCTCTTGACAAATTCCATGACAGGTTTTGATTCATACAATCGTATTACTATAATTATATCTACAAGCTTCAATCAGTAAGTCACAAATTAAAAAGATGGAAAATATTTTTGATAAAACAATTTTTTAATCGAAAGTTCTTTGGTTGATGGTTAACAATTAAATGTAATAATTATAAATATTTACTTTAGGACAAGATTAATAATGTATCTTAAAATATATTAATGAACAATATAGTTTTTCGCTATAATTATTGGAAATTCAGGTTTCTACGGTCATGCAAGACATTGCTTCAAACATTTGAATATGTACCTACACAAACGACCAAACAAAATCCAATACACACAGCAGCTGCCATATTGGAAAACTTGTTTTCGATAAAAAAACAATAATAAAGCTATACAAAAATTTTGAAAAAACTCTATATAATGTAAGAAAAATGTATCATTACACTAGGGCGAAGCACTAATATAACAATTGAACAATAAACAATTTTCAAATCTTGTGGAAACCTTTATTTATCAAATGTTTATGTTGTTGTTGGCAACACCGTTCAACATTGTATTTCCCTCTGGCAATTATATAATAATATCCAATAAAACCTCTCTCAAATATTCTAATTAACCAGATATTCCCGATACAATATCCTTAATAAAACTATGTTACAGTTAATTTTATTAATCCCTAGGATACTCCCCTTTCTGTATCAGATAACTTATCAATTAAAGTACTGTTATAAATGAACTAATCTGTTATTAAGAACGTATACTTGATAGTTCAATATGAAATCTATACAAAGGTAGTATAGTTTTTATCATTTTAGTATTTTTTTCGTTTATTGTTTTAATTGGTTACATTTAAATTTAAAAGACAAATTAGTTACAGAACAAAATTGTACTTGCTATTTGATTTTATTTCTGTATGTTAAATAATAATTATTTTAATTTTAAATAATACTCTTGACTGTTCATTATATGAAGTACAATTTATTCAAATAAAATGGTGCTTTCAAAAGTACAGGACACATAAATTGCGAAACGAGGGAACAAGCAAGCCGGTCAGTCTCCACAGATTTGTCAATCCGTTATCATAGGCACAAATAGCCCAACATTTTTGGAGAGATTGCGGTTTAAACCATTAAAATCGACTAATAACTGTTCAGAAATGTTTAAAATTTACCAGAGCCCAATAAGGACAAATGCCAATAATGAAATAGTTGGCTTATGAAAAGGTTCCTCCATTCTTACAATTAATGTATACAATTTTACATTATTATACATTGCTTTAACCGTTTTGTTAATCTCCTGAAATCAAAAATTATCGTTCAATTTTCGACATTATAATGGTATAAAAAAAAAAGTATATATTTAAGTATTATAAACTAATAAAAGCAGTTAATGAATTTTCTGAGACTAACCCGTAATTCGTTACCGCACGATTGTCTTCAACGATGTTGGAATCTAATGCTACTTGAGCGGGTGCCTCCAAATATATAATACGAAAAACCTACAATATAAAAGTGTAATAAAAAGTTTAAAAAAACACATTTATCAATTGAACTTACATTGCCTGCTGAACTTTTAACGCCAGTAATACGAATGTAGAGTATCGGCCTGGATTTAAATTGCAACACCTGCCAAGATTGTGTCAGCTCTTCAGATTTATCTACAATAATTTCCCATTCTTCATTATTGATTGAAGCTTCAATAGTGTAGCTGTAAGAATCGTCGCCCCACAGTAACAACCTGTCAATTGTGGCAATAATAATATTGTTTTAGTTTAATAATGAATACAAGCCATGAAAAACGGATAATTAGTCCAGCATAAACTTTTGTTTCGCCACTTTCTACTTTGTTTTACTTTTATTTTACCGGATAGCGAAAGAAATCATAACAAAATGATAGATCAGTTATAAACATAATAATACAATAAAAAAAAAACGAATTAAACATAGTATAAAATCCTATTTATACTTTTATTATCCAAGATTATCATAATTGCTATTAAGATCAATATTATTTTAATTTAATTTTGTTTTGTTAAAATTATCCATTTACATTGCTAATTGGTTTAATGAACTACAGATAAATTTTCACTTTAAAAAAAAAACAAGAATACATATATTTATATGTTTAGCAAGAAAAAATGAAATAATTCAAATTGAGGGAATAGATGTTACTGCATCCTAAGAAATAAATTTGGATCAAGGATCTTATCGAAAGAAAAAACATTTAATATAATATCATAATTATGATAAATAACATTTTTGTGCGGGTTGGAGAATTAGGCTCCGAGAAGAAAATAAGAAACGAGACTTCAGATTTTGAGTGAACAATTTTCGGAGAAATTATTTATAGACCGTGTATGAGTAAAAAAAAATTCATTCCGGCGACTAAAAGTGATAATAAAAATTGTCAAAAGAGGCCGTATGTGTGCCTGGATAGCCTAGTGAAATAATTGGTATACAAATTGCAAGATATTTATACTATTACCTCATGGAACTAAGTATATACGGTAGTGCAAGTTGAACAACTATGAAACCAGATCCCAGCTCATGATACGTGTATCTGTCATTTCTAGCTTGACTTTCATAGTATCCCTTTACTAGCGAACCATCATTAGAGTTATTTTCTCCTTTGATTACAAATGCTCCCATATATTGCGAAGTGACATTATAACCGAACTTGGGAACTTGATTGAAATTAATAAATTAGACAAATATAAATTGAAATATTCTATTATTTTTTTTTTTTTATTCAAAATATGAGTTACTTCATTCGTTTTCCTACCGACTAATCCATTTTTTATTTCCACCTTATGCATATCTTCTGTATTGTACTTGACATCCAGAAAACTAAAAGTCTCATTAGCAGTACTTCTGGTTCCAACAATGTGTATATACCGAACTAAGCGTGGATGTATCCACAAACGTTGAAATGATCGACAATTATAATTTGAATGATCTAAAACACGCACCCAATCGTGCCCATTCATTGAAAGTTCAATGTAATAAGAGAAACACCTAAAGTATCAAATTATACGGATAACTTGTAGAGTATTGATTTGTTGTAATAAAGTATATAAAATTAAATGCTAGGAACAAAGTTATGAAAAAAGCTTTTGAATAATAAAAACAAGTAATTATTAATAAACAATATAAATTTTAAAAATGTGAGAAATCATTGCTAAAATTTGATTTAATTATAATATGAATAATTTTTTGACAAACAAAAATATTTATAGATAAGTAAAATCAATCATGAATTTACGAGTGTTTCGATTGATTATTCAAATACATTTTTTTTTTAATCAATGGCAATTTCAATAGAAAAAAAAATATTTGTAATTATTTAAAAACATACTTTAATTCATCCATGCGATATTCATACCAGAATATTGTTTCAATAAAGTTTATAATTGATGGGTTATTCAACTTTAACATATTAGTGCCTTCGTCAAAGTCATCGGTATCTGGAATATTCTTGGACTCATAAATAAGATTCACATTGGGTTCTAAAAAACAAAATAATTAAAACCAACATAATTTACGAAATGATGTGTACAGCAAGCATACTTAGGTGTCCTCGGAATTGAAGCTTATCTGGTGACCATGTGTGCCTAAATTGTATGGCATCTAAATTTATATCCGAACTAACCAATTGTAATTCCCCCCTAGCCTCGGACAGTTCTTCAACACTCATTAACTGATATCTAACGGCTGACAAAACATTGATTTTACTATCACGATCCAGTTCGTTTTGGTTTTTCTCTATCCAGCGACAAACCGCACGGAATATACCTAATTCGTCAGCATATAACGTGTCACGATGGAGAATTTCTTGAAGATCATCCTAGAAATGAAAATTGATTCTTAACTTTTCACCAAACACGAGCAGTATAATTGTTTTTAATTAAAAAAAAAAAAAAGCCACTACGATTGACAAAGACAGAAACTCTTCAGATTGCAACACAACCAAAGCGTTTATGTCGATAAAGTTAATTGATTCGACTTCGAGGTCCTTGTATTGATAAAATCGTGCCCCAGCATACAACAAACATGCATTTTGTGCATTAATGTTGTTTTGCAAATACTTGAGCAGTGAAATTTTTAAGTTTGAAACACTATAAAAATCTGAAACCTTAAGTAATTCGAAAACCTCTATATCCTAAAAAATAAAGATTAACATATTATGTATTTAATCTTTCTTCATTAACCGGTTTTTGATTAAACACAAAATTTATTTTAAAAGATCGAACACATACTACGTCGATTATTCGTTACCTTATAACCATTTAAATTTATTCGACCAGTATAAATATATTTAAGAATTTTTTTAAATAAGGTCACTGATGCTTCACTTATTGGCACCTCCAAAGCATGCGCTTCTGTAAACTTTCCATTAAAACAGACCCTAAAAATAATACACAATATTATTACTAACATTAAATAACAGAGTAAAAAAATAAAAACGAAAACCTTTTCAGCAGTAAGCATGATAATTATGGTCTACTTATTATTAATACTTATTAACTTATTACTTATTATGGTGTACTTATTAAGTACACCATTTTTGATATGATAAAAGCATTTGTTGTTGGAGAGTTCAAATATAAAAAAAAACAGTTTTTTTAATTTTTAAAACGTCCATAGTCGTATTTCTTATATTTTCATAATATTTAAGACAGCTGCATTATTAAAAATAAGGGGAAGTATTTAAAAAAAAAAAGGGATCTCATTTTAGGTCATAACGAACCAGGAAGTCCAGTAAACATGAAAATTAACCAAAAGAAACCTAACCTAACTAACAGTTTATAGCTACCAAAAAAAAAAAACAATAATAATAATAATAAATATTTTCACCCGCTCATGAAATAATGCCTAAGGAAATATACTTAATGATAAGAATTAAATACCTAAAATATTCACTGCGTGAAGCTAATACAATACGATGGGCGGGCAATCGTTCTTCATCTACAACCAAAACAACATCTGAAAAGCTGAAAAAAGTCACTAGTTTAAAATGGAAAACAATGTAAGTAATAAAAAATTTAGGGTCGGGAGAAAGTAAAAGACAGAGAGGGGGAAAAGTTGAACGTATTTGTTTTGACAGGTCAGTCAAATATATTTTTTAATAATAGCTTTCTTATTATTAGTTCATAATGAAAGTATCCGGACATATATTTTACTACTTTGTGTACTACCTACTTTAAATCAAGTTAGAATAATTAGACCAAAATTAGTAAAATGGCACACATTTACAGGTTACTTTTACAGGTGTTACGCTTTAGTATGAAAGTAAAACACAATTCGATTTATATTAGTAATAGTATTCGCTGTCGTTTATTGTGAAACCCAAATTATATTTTTGGTACGGTATCAAAAAACTGTTCACAAGAAAAACGTGCTAAATTATAAAAATAAAATAAAGTTAATAGGTATAAACTCAAAACCACATACCTGTCGCTTAGATAGAGTTTTCTTATGTCATTGACCAAGATGTGAGTGTCGTCGATTTGCTCGTTATTGTGCGTTTTGGGAGACGAAGACGGGGTATCAGCCTCAATTACAGACCATGCTAAAAACAATTAATAAAACAGCTGATTTTTTGGACGAGTTTGGATGTATACTTCATAGGATATATTACAAAACAAATAATTGAGTTCTTATATGGTGCAAGTATTTTGTAAAACTATACAAACATGTTATTGTTAAAAATTAAACACAGACTTAATTCTGACGTCAGACTTCTTGATCATACCAATGATTTAATTTAACAAATAGTTTTTTTTTATGTAGCTTATAAGTACTCCACCTATGGTTTTTTTTTTAGGTATTTTAAACATGCATGTGTTATTGGGCTGGTTACAAACAAAAGTATGCGTGGACAATTTTGCGTAGACAAAATGGCGTTACGTAGTATAATACAACTCTCAATATACTTTGTCTATTCAAAACTTATTAGTCTATCTATTACTACTATTGAGCATACCAAACAATACTTTAGATAGCCATAAGCTCCATAATTATGAACATATCCTATTGCTTAGAACTTCTAAGCGATAAGTTATGAAAGAATGGACGGAGTTTTAACTAACCATCCAAAAAACTTTGTTAAAAATTAGTCTTCAATCTTTCTAGAGGTTATATTAGACATTATGTCTGGTCAATAAGAACATTGCCAAATTGAAATTCTAAAATTATTAGTTTATTTGTTGTTTCTAGTGAGCAAATAGAAAAATACCATAGACAGCGATAAGTTCTATAATTATGTACAGAAGTTAACGCTTTGTGATTGCTGCAATTAAAATTAAAAGAAAGACACAATTATTTATGTATTAGTAAAATATAAGATTTACCTGGAGTTGACCATAAAATAATAATGGCTAAAAGATAAATCATCATCATACTTTGTAATACACTACAAAAACAAAACCTTGCCAGCAGATATTTAAATTTATATATGTTGTAGTTTTATAACAAAAGCGTACAATATTTTTCTATACTTAACGGCATATGTTTTAAAAAAATCATTGTGTTTACATTGGGTGTACGATTTTTTTGTGAAGACGTATAAACATGTTTTGGTTGTATATTGTTAAACATAAAACACAGATTTGAAGCTGATGTCAGCTTATTGATCATACGCATAATTCGTTTGTACAATTTTTTTTTTCATATTATGAATATTTTAAATATATGTTTTATATTATATTATCATTGACAGTTTAATAATAATAATGAGACTATTAAATATATCTTCTGGAAGAAGATCGGGCATCTAGTATATTATTACTAGTGATATTATCAGTTAAAAATAAAGGGGGATCCATTAAATGCGAGGTAGGTACATATATATACTTTTCACACAGCTGTGTGAAGTACGACCTACATTACAGAACAACTGTATAAAATCAGTGGATGATATTAAACAATTTACAACTAAAGCATGATTGGGATTCAATACAAAGAGTCATACGCCAAATATTTTTTACACAATTGGTTCGTTTGAAATATATTATTCCATTGAATATAGAAAATGACAGTACGTTAATAAAATAATACTACCTTTATAAATAGGTATTCAATTTCTATTAACATGATTATTTTTTTAAAAAGTGTGTTATCCAGTTTCCATTGGCCATGTCTCTGCGCCATAAGTGATTACAGAGCGTAGAAATGAAGTGTGTAATCAACTCCTTTGACAGTGTCCATGATCCAAGCAAGACCATAGAAACATTTACTGTTATACTGCATTTTTTAAAACATTTTTATTTTATTAACCCTTTCGGCTCCAAATTAAATTTAGAGAATATATTTTGGTTCTAACACTTATTATCTATCGTAATACTTTTCAAACCTCAAATACAGAATCACCGACCATTTCTGGTAAATATGTAAATTTTGAATTAAAATGAGTATATTTGACCGTATCATTTAGTTTTTTTTTTTTATAAATTCTGGATTTCCTTTGACGTATCTATTTAATAAACCAATTATTTTCTGCAGCACAGCACAAACCGTATAAAAAGCATCAAGTTAAGATTACAAAAGTGAATAAAAAATACACATTTCAATGCTCATAGGAGTGGTAAATTTAAGGTAAACATAGAATTGAAATAAGTAAACAAGTATTGAAGTATCGCAAAATAAAAAAAATTGTAGAACAGCTAACATAAGTTGTACGTCACCGTTCGCTGGCAGTAATGTATTGTACTGAGTACTGAATTTTTGTGTGTACTCTGCTTACCTATACTAAAACGAAACAACCACAAAATATTAAGTACAAAATAGTGGTTGCCAATAAAATAAAATGCACTATATGGTGAACTCGTATCAATAGCATCACAGTTAAATTTGTAGTTTTAATGCGTAACATTAAAATGGATTAGACTTTAAAACTTATTTTTGAGTTGCCATGAAGAACTTAACTTGTGTATCATTTGTGTTGTTTATGGTAAGTTAAATTTATAATATTTTATTTTATATTCCAGGCCTCTGAAACGTAATAAAAATGTTACAAAAACCTAATTTTTTTTAGAAATCCAATATTATTTCTAGAGACCTATTAAATTAAACCAATTTAAATTCAGACTAAAAGACTAAGACATTGTTTAAAGAAAAAGTATTGAGTAATAAATTATATAAATAACTTTGAACTATTGGCTTGAATATCAATTAGATGAATTAAATTACTTTTTAGGATGATTATTCTGTAATTTTTCTCGAAAAGGTTTTCTTACAATCTTATAAGTTTTTGTTTGGAAATTTTGTATTGATTTAAAAAAAATGTTTTTATAAAAAACATGTTATCACGTTTATTTTAGTGGAGGGATTATTGTTTTATAGAATTTTCAAACTCAACTACATTTTGGATACGTTAAATGTAAGTTTCAAAAGTCGATAGAACTCTAGAAAATATACTAATAAAAGTAAATAATTAGAAACTCCATAATATTGTTGTATAACATTAGCAAAAAGACATTGAATCTTGGATATGTTACCTCTAATCATTTATCTATAATCCCTAATCTATTATCTCTTACCTCTCATCATCTTATCACTAATAGGTGTGATTTTGTGACACGAAATCGGCGTAGCGTGAAATTTCTTGTAGCCAGCCCAATAACATAGCTTTGTTAAGTTGTTTAATTAAAAAAATAGATGCCTTAATAATCACTCTGTAGATTTCATTGAGAAATTGACTTGGTCGGAGATTTGAAATGACAGCCACATTTATATTTAATTTAGGCGCTCGTGATAAACGTCGCCGAAGGGGAAAAACCTCATGAAATGATTAACCAGATTCATCCGAATGTACTTATACAGTACATGAGATTACGAAGCGACATGGGAGAACTGCTAGCGTTGTATAAACTGTACTGGAAACACGTGGAGGGCGGAATAGTCCATCAAAAATTCAATCGCTATTGTGACATTTTGTTAATCGCGTTCAATATTTTGTTCAACCTGTACTTCAGCGACGCAGACAAGTTTAACGAGGCTAAAGCCATTCTAATCCATTTGCACAACGAGAAATACCCAGGAGAAAGAGTCGACAGTTTAGTGCGGAACGCTGAATCGACTTTTGAAATCCACGTGCAGTCCAATCTTGAAGTATGTTTTTTTGGTCGACCAATATATTTTATATTAAATAGTATTTAGTCGGTTAAGAGTACTTGACGTTCCGTAACATAATTCTCGCTATTACAAATGAGACAATCAATGTGCCTTTATTTCGTTATTATGGTCACACTGTAGCTCGCTTTTTTGCTTACTTCAAAGTATTTTACTTATTTTGACCCCATGCTTTAATCGCACTTGTAATAGAAGAAAAGCACGGGGAAGCGGCGGTGAATGGATATTTTAAATAAGTATGTAAACGTCTCTTAATCGGGGTGTGCATGTGTGTTTGTTTACTACAAGGGCTCACTTCCTGCCTCTAGACTTACTATTACACAGTGTTATAATATAGTATACAGTACATACCTTGTCGTGGAGTTACTCGAAGCTCTATGACCTTGTCGATATTCCTTGAGTATGTGATCTTGATATGTCGAAGTGAACGTTGTTTTAACGCGAATGTTTTCACTCATAAAATATTTCAGACACTGGTGTTTTAACGTTATCTTACGACCATCTGTTTCTCGTTAAAGTATAATTCAGTACACGGTCTACCAATGGTTTTATAATAATCAATGCGCTTGTCAGAAATAACAACGTCTACTGAGTTATTATAAGCCGACTACATTCCTTGCTGACCAAAAATAGTCACATGGGTGTAATAGGATTGTTCGACCGCTAGAATTAATGACCTTTAACGACACTTTTAAGAGGTATAGGTATAGGTATATGTATGAACGAAAGAACAACAGTGTTTTTATTGCTTAATAATGACACGTGTGTGATAAGAAACTCGTACGGTTTTAAGTAATTGAATTGTAATGAATATAGTACTTTTATATATCGCTACGGACTCGGCGTATGTATGTGTAAGGATAATAAGGAAGGATTATGTTATTGGTGGCCGCGGCGGACTGATAACAGCTACCCGACTTTGGCGTCCACACAATAAGGAAAGGAAGGATATTGGTGGCCGCGGCGGACTGATAACAGCTACCCGACTTTGGCGTCCACACAATAAGGAGAGGAAGGTTGTATGAGAGATGTGAGAGAGCAACTGCGCTTCGCTGCGCTGTAGGCTGGCTTAAATAGTGCGTTTTTGTGTTGGTTAAGTTCGTCTCGGTTAAGTTCGTGTCGAGTCGTGTGTCCGACCCCTTCTTTAATGAACTTATTGTTATGTAAATGTTACGCCTGAAATGAGTATGTACGCTATCTATTAGAGTATTTTAAGTTTATTGAAATTATTCAAAGAGGTTCTATATCACACTACGCGCGTTGTATATTGAATAATAATAACATGATAGTTATATAAAAATGTCACATATAGTATAAATTTGAATATATAATATGTTATTACAAAATGATAGTTTAATAAATATAGTTAAAACTTAAACATATGCTTTATGTTACTACACACTCTAATGTCTAATTTACTAAATGGTTTAAGGAAGGGTACTCCTCCGACGAGTTGGAAATGTATCGACCTCACGACAGGATAAGACGATTTCACCCTTTAGCACTTATCGAGTACATGAAGTCACAAGACGATATGGAAGAGTTGCTCATATTGTACTATTTGTATTGGAGACACGGGTACGAGAACATCCAAAGCTGCACAGACGGTTTGGAAGATTATTGTTATTTGTTATTTCACGCCTACAACATACTGTTGGACATGCACTATAGCGGCACCAAAGACATTGAAAACGCCATACCGGTTTTGAAAAATATTGAAAATGAAATTTTAACGAAAAAACATAACCAATCAGAAAAATTAACAACGGAGATGGTTAATTTGTTTTTACAGTTTTGTTACAGTGCAGGAATATAGGTAAATTGGACCGGTAGAAAGTCGCTTACATGGTCTGTAGCTCGTTTGTCACAGTTCTGTATTTAATTTTATTATGTATTTTTGTTTTTACCTATTTACGTTTGATCCTACGTATCACATACATGCTCTATTAATACAAGAATACTTATCAAATAGAAAATAGCCATCGTTTATTTACATATGTAGACATACTAAAAATACTATTTTTTGTAAAATCCCATTTACCCCTACGGGGGGGGGGGGGGTGCTCATATTTACATGTCTGGCTTTATACAAGTATTTATAATTATTACACTAATATGTCACTCTTCCTCTAAATAGTCGCTCCCGTTCTCTTCCGTCATTTGCCTTCGTATCCATAATCTTAACATAGCTAGTAAGTATGTTTACCAAAGAATATTGTCAAAAATAAAATACAGTGTAATTAAAAGTTTACAATTATGCTTTTTAGCCACACATAATATATTGCAATATTGTATGTTTCGACTTTTAATAATAAAGAGAATGCTCACTATAATGTTGAATCGATTATAATTTATAAAAGAAGATTAGTCCAAAAATTGTTTACATTAAAAATGCCTCTTTTTAACATACAATTTTACTAGAAAAAATTATATTATTAATTAATACGCACTATATTTATTAACATTTTGGAATACTAATTATTCAATTTTATTTTTTAACCAACGTTTCGATTGAACGATTTTCACCCTTTTCATAAGCAATAAAATCCTTAAGTATTTTCTTAAAATTAAATTACTAAATCATAAACGGGATTGTATGCAATACAGTGATGTAAACCAAAACTCATTTACCAATATATTTTATAATGACTTAAAACGAATGTTTATTCAAACATATAAATAATTAATAGGAACTTTTTCCTGACTTCACAAACGTCATAATAAAACTAACTATTACACTAATTATATAAAAATATAAAATAAAATAAAAATTATAAAAAATATTCACACAGCACAATACAATACAAATTGAAAATTATTTTTCGCTAATAAAACAAATTACATAAACGTCCATTTATTGTTGGTGTGCTCACAAAAATTATACTAATATTTACACAATACGTTTAATTTAATTAATTAAGTAACATTAATTAAGCAAAAACGAGTACTGTTATTATTAAATTAAAATTTAGCAAAAAACAAAAATACAGTAATTTTTTTTTTTTTTTAAAGTCAAAATGTAGTCAAGTAGTGTAGTCACGATACGTTAGTGTAAGTCACTAACGTAAAGTGGGGTTACTCAGCTTAATATTACAAAAAAATAAAATTGTTTTGGTTATTTTGTTTAACATTAAATCTAGTGGTTAAAATAATTAACGCGTACCCTAATAAGTTCCAATTATTAACAATTAAAAATGAACAAGTTCACCGTTTGAAATAGCGAACATCTCGGTCTAGGTTGTAATTGTTTCAGGTTTATTATAAATATATTAAAACACACATATTAGCCATTAATATGTACTCTTACGTGATTCCTGAGGCTGGATTTGTAAGAAAATAACTTTGAACACACGTCACATGAGTAGGGCTTTTCACCGGTGTGCACGCGTTGGTGTTCTATGAGGGTGTTTTTTAAAGAAAACGACTTAAAACATACAGCACATTTGAAAGGCTTTTCCCCAGTGTGAACTCGTTGGTGTATTGTGAGGCCGGATTTTCCAGAAAAAGTCATTGAGCACACGTCGCAACTGTAGGGCTTTTCACCAGTATGCACACGTTTGTGATAATTCAAGCCGTTTTGGGAAGAAAGTGACTTTGAACACAGATTACATTTATAGGGCTTTTCACCGGTGTGCACGCGTTGGTGATATGCCAAGCTGTTTTTGACAGAAAATGACTTGGAGCACAGATTACATGTATAGGGCTTTTCACCGGTGTGCGCGCGTTGGTGATCTGTGAGGGTGCTTTTTAAAGAAAACGACTTTAAACATACAGCACATTTAAAAGGCTTTTCCCCAGTGTGCACTCGTTTGTGTTGTTTGAGGCGGGATTTTACAAAAAATTTCATTGAGCACACGTCACATGTGTGGGGCTTTTCCCCAGTGTGAACTCGTTTGTGTAGTGTGAGGCTGGATTTTGCAGAAAAAGTCATTGAGCACACGTCGCAACTGTAGGGCTTTTCACCGGTATGCACACGTTTGTGATATTTCAAGCCGTTTTGGGAAGAAAGTGTCTTTGAACACAGATTACATTTATAGGGTTTTTCACCGGTATGCACGCGTTGGTGATTTGTGAGGTTGCATTTTAAAGCAAACGACTTAAGACATACAACACATTTGTAAGGCTTTTCCCCAGTGTGAACGCGTTTGTGTTTTATGAGGTTAGATATTACTGAGAACGATTTTAAACACACGTCGCATTTGTAGGGCTTTTCCTGAGTGTGTACTCGTATGTGTGCTGTGAGGCTGAATTTTGCAGAAAACGTTTTTGAGCACACGTCACATTTATATGGCTTTTCTCCAGTGTGCACTCGTTTGTGTATTGCGAGGTCAGATATTGAAGAACACGATTTTGAACACACAGTACATTTGAAAGGCTTTTCTCCAGTGTGCACGCGTTGGTGTACTGTAAGGTTAGGTTTTTCAGAAAAAGTTTTTGAGCACACGTCACATTTAAAAGGCTTTTCCCCAGTGTGAATACGCTGGTGTTTAGTGAGATTGGGGTTTTCAGCAAAAGTTTTTGAACACACGTTGCATTTGTAGGGCTTTTTACCGATGTGCAAGCGTTTGTGTCTTGCGAGATTACATTGTAAAGAGAATGATTTTAAACACACGTCACATGTGTAGGGCTTTTCACCGGTGTGAACTCGTTCGTGTATTGTTAGGTATCTTTTAACAGGAAATGCCTTTGAGCACACATTACATTTATAGGGCTTTTCCCCTGTGTGCACGCGTTTGTGTACTGTGAAGTTAGATAGTAATGAGAATGATTTTAAACACACTTTACAATAGTAGGGCTTTTCACCGGTGTGCACGCGTTTGTGTTGTGTGACGAGCCGTTTTCGCGGAAATGACACATATTTATTTTTGGCAACTTCATTTGCAGTTCTTTTCTGGATTGTTGTACTATGTAATTGAGTTATGTGTTTAGCCACTTGCGTTTTGGTGGTAAACACCTGGCTACATATTTCGCAGACAAATTGCTGTATTTCGTCCAGGCCGTAGTTCATCGTTTTCACATCCAAAGGCCCATTTTTTTGGTATTCTATCACAGACTCAAAATTACATCCATTCACAGTATCTACTTCGACTTGAACGACTGTTTTGTCGCATGTTTCACTGACACTAAAAACAATAAATATATTTTTCAGCGTTAAGAAAAGGATCAGAAAATACTTGCTTTAAGCAATCAATTTTAAGAGGGCGTCGCATCGCCTATTTTTAAGGAGTAAAGTATAGGCAATTTTTTTACAAAATCTTAATTAAAGGTTAAACTGTGATGTGTAATTATTAGTTTAATAACTATGACTCTATTTTGGTAGTTAATTTATTTTTCGGACTATCACAGCATCCTTGAAAGCGATTTAAAAATGTTTTTTCATTTCTACATGTTAAAGCAAACTGAAAATAACTAGCTTAATTTTAGTTTTAGAGTAAAAGCACCCATTGTAAAATTAAAAGAAAGAAATATTTCGGAGGCACCACGGTGCGGTTTTTTCATTATTCCAAGTATAATGCTTAATATATTGTTTAGCAATAACGACTATTTTAACATTTTTAAATGATTTTTTAAAAAAATTAATTCCCCCAGGAATATTGTTCTCTTTTAATTTTATAATGGGTGCTTTTACTCTAAAACCAAAATTAAGCGAGTTATTTTCAGTCAGCGTAAACATGTTTTTACCACTAAAAATCACCGGTGCGATGCCCTCTAAACATAGTATTGCTCGTTGAATGTGACTAATAAATGAGAGTTATTCGACATGGATTGGGCATTGAGGGGTAAAAATTTTTTATAAAATAAGAGTACCAAATCTTTCTCAAGACCGAAACCTTTACTCCCTTGTCTGAAAGTAAGAATAATCTAATCGTACAAGTATACGGTGATATTCTATTAACTCTACTATACATATTGAAATCAATAATAAGATCGGTTAAAATATTTTTAAAAAATGTTATTCAAAATTAAATAATATTCTCTTTTTTCCCCAAGAAGATGTGCTTATACCACAAGTTACAATTAGATTGAATATTAATAATACAATTATTTATGGTCCCTTTATTTGGAAGTTATCGTTAATTAAGATGTTACATTAATAACAAATTTTTTTTTCTAACTATTAGTATTTGGGAAAAGTGACCATAATAAAACATTTTAGACCACACTATATACCGTAATAACATAATTATTTCTTAATAAAATTGATTTAAACTATTTTAATTTAAAAAAAAAATATTTTACTTATATGCATCCCCATAGAGTGGTTTTGGAGAATGGTGGATTGTCGGATAGCTATTGTTTGATTCATCAATGTAATTAGGTTTTGTTTTTTTCACTGAGGCATTAGTGTATTGCTCTTCTGTGTCTTCATTTTCTTCTTCTATTTTAATCACAGTCTTGTAGTTATAATTTTCCATTACAATTCTGATTTTTAGCAATTTTCTTAGTAGTTGAACTCTAAAAACAAAGAATATTTTATAAAATTGGGACAGGAACTTAAGTTAAGTATTTATAAATGACTATAGCTTGAGTTTAAACACACATAAATGAAACATGAGTGCAGGCTGAATTTTTGGCCTAAAAGACCCAACAGGTCTAAGACGTTTTACTAAAAAATCACACATTTAAGCAATTCTATAATCATCTAGTAATAAGTAGCAGACCATAATTACAATTTTAGAAGGTTCAAATAGCTATAGCCAGTAAAAAATTATGAATTTTCTTTTAAAAATGATGTACTACTAGTTTACCTAACACAAAATGAAATGATTAAGGCTATGTTTGTATTATTATACAAACATAGCCTTAATCATTTCCTTTATTATAAAAAAATACCAATATCCTCTATCCATAATTACTAATATATTTTATTTACCTCTAAATAATTAATTTAAAAAAACAAATTTTGCCAAACAGGTTATACTTGTTTAGAGAGAAAGAAAAAAATTTTGCATGGTCTTTTTAAAATGATGCACTAGTTTACCTAACACAAATAAATAATACAAACATAGCCTTAATCATTTCCTTTATAACAAAAATACAATTTTGCTTTACTAAAAAGTACAAATATATTTCATTTACCTCTAAATAATTAATTAAAATAAAAAACAAATTCTGTCAAACATAGTATCGCTTTTTCGGTGGAACAATAATGTAGGTGCAAATTTTTGACTTTTTGACTTAAGTACGAAAACAGCACGATAACATTTAATTTTATTGAGTAAAATCATGGTATAAGTGTAATACCTATTACAGTTTTGTCGTTTACCATCGTGTACGGTTACCATTACACTAAAATTTTAAATCACGTTTTTTGAAGAACAGTTAAATTTGCACTTACACAATTGTTCCACCGGAGAAGCGATATGTAGGTTATACTTGTTTTGAGAGAAAGTATAAATAAAAACACATAAATAATGACCACTTAAGAATAGTAATAATTTTACATAAATAAATAAGTAAATATCATTGAACTTTTGTAATTTATAAAAACTTTGACATTTAATAGATTGGTTATATTAAAAAAAAATGTGACAATAATTCATTCATTCAGCATTGTTTAAACTAAAAATTGATCAAAGAAGAATTATAAAACAGTCTACCCCTAATATATTATTAGCAGCCATAACCATTTTCATATTAATAAAAATTAAACTATTTTCTGCCAAACATAATAGATAATTCAATGATGATAACTTTAACTAAATCACTGCTACTTAAATAGGCGTCAATGCGTATATTTATTTTTGATATCGCCGTGATTATCATTATATTATTTTTAGTAATAAACGAAACTGAGAAATTGGCTAATTGGTAAAGCTAAAAGAACCTAGAGAACAATGTGATTATTATAGCAATGATATTATATTATTAACACTATATGTAAATAAAAGTAACAGAAAAATGGTAATTGAAGTTATATGGCGTTTCACAACCTAATATAAATTACAATGGTCTACAATTTGATAAAAAAAAATGCGCAGCAGTTGCGACTAACCATTTATGATATAAATTGGGATGCTGTTCTCGAGATACACATAAAAACAAATTTTTTTATGTATGGTTTTTAAGATAATGTGAATTTTTAAAAAATCACAAGGTAGGCTCACACTTTAAAAAATATCTCGAGTTGGAATCCCCAATCTATTAGTCGCACAACATATGAAATCCAAAGTATCCAACAAGTATTTGAATTACCAATGAATGTTTACTACAATGATTTCAATCGGTTCAGTAGTTTAGGTGCAATCGAGCAAAACACGGGAATAAAATTAATAGTAAAATTAATTTCTCAAAAACTAATTTATAGAAAATTATTTTAAAATAATTAATAATAAATTAGCATATTAGAATGCTTACATAAGAAAAGGATCGTGGCATCTGCTACACCGGATAGCTGTAAACCAGCATTTTCATCCCTACGGCCGTTGATAATGCACCCCAGTCTATAAGTCCAAACTTTGCATAGCTAAAATAATTTGAATTGTTTTAAAAAACCTCATAGAACCCGGTACAACTGTGGTTTGATATTATTAAAGTAAATAAAACTGGTGAAAATTGTAAGTGATGATAATGTTAATACCGATACTTACGTTTACACGGCTACTTCGAGATTCTCAGATTTACAGACCACACGGCACAGCGCTGTTCTGGAACGGTTTTTGATCAATTACATTGTGATCGCACGACGAATAACAACCTTTAAACTTTAAAGAACACCAAAGTGTCACTGCGTGCATGACTTGTGATAAATGATGCATATTATGATATTACATACAAACCTAATCAACAGGTTATAACAGCGGTGACCGCGGTCTGCGATGGTCGGCTGGAGGTAGAACGCAGTGAAGGTAAATATTGAAACGTGCGGGGCTTAAACAAAATATATCCAATCGATATTGACCCCCGTATCAAACTCTCTATAATCTCTACTACTCTACTTTTAGTGTTTATGGACTATGGTATGGTGTTCTATAAAATTGTCAACAAACGCCAGAAACACATTATAAACCATTAATAATAATTATTAATGTAATTGACATGTTGCCTCAGAAAATAACAATAATTTTATAACGATTTATAAGTGTCAAACTGTCCACCGGGAAATGTCAAACGGATGAAAATTGTTCGGTTGCAACCCGTGTCGAAAATTGGTCAACTTCAAAAAGATTTAATTATCCATCGCATAATTATATGATCTCTTCAGCCCCAAAGAAAAGGTGCTGGAAAGAGACTCGGGTGAGAAAAGTTTACAATAACTACACATTTTATCAACTGAAATTGTCATGATTTCATATCACTACTTTCCATTCAGAAGTTCTGGTCGAAATATGGTCGATTCTCGAATAATTAAATAAAAACTATCTAGTTTTATCTAAATGTAATTGTAATAGTAATTATATTGTGGGTAAAATTAGAAATTAACTTCACTAACTTAACAAAAGTTTAAAAAAAAACAAATTTGCTGTTTTTTACTCATAGAGATAATGAGATGATCAACGAGGTTAATGTTAAACACGGTATTCCTATGATTGATGAACGTTCAGTTGCAACATATGTCGAAAACAAATTCAAGTAAGGCACTTTTTAATCTCAATACATATTTTTTAAAAATTGTATTACATATTTAGTATGTAACGACTATTTAAATATATTTTTTTTAAACTATAGGTGTTACTAACTAATCCCTTTATTTTGGTGTTATAATATTTTATGTTTTTCGGTATTGTTACAAGTCTCGTTTTGCCTGTATATGTTTCTTTGTTCAAAATCAATATTTCTTGAGTTATTCATGGGTAAATGGGTGCGAAACGTTTGGTTCAGTATACATTGGCGGCATTTAATATGTTTTCTTTCACAGAGTTTAATTCTAGATGTGCATTTATTTTTCTTTTATAGTAAACATTTGAACAGAACTTGTTCTTTAATTATACATATAAAATATTTAAAAAATACACTTGAGTAGTGTTCATCATCAGCGCTCACAGCGGACTTAATCTGTAGGCCGAATTTAAAGAAAAAACTATTTTTTTTTAGTTTGGTTTTGCTATGTTAGAAAAACAGATCACTTATTAATTTAGGTCCCGGATTGAGAATATTAATGTTTTAACGTTTTGATACAGTAGGCAAAGCTTATTAATGTTATTTTCAGTTTTTTCATTTATTAGTTATTTTACTTTGTACATAATTTAACTTTTCATCTTTTTAATGCTGAATGAATTTTGGCCTCTCAAAATAATACAGTATTTTAATCACGAAAAATGGTTAATGGAATTTTACTAAATAAAATGATGGTTTGGCATCCTTTAGGTTAGTTTGTTATGCTTTATCATTTTTTTATTTGTCAGCAGGGAAATAATATGTCCGAATTGGTTTAGAATCATTTCCCATATATTAACTGTGCTAATTTTGGATTCAGATAATTTATATATTATATGTTATTTATAATTGAAAAATGATTTTATTTTTGGTATTGACAATTAATATCTTTCTAAAAAAATATATCAAATTAAAAACCTTATTTTTTAAAATATACTTTGTGTTTTAGACTTAACGAACCAAATGGACGAGCCAACAATTAAAATTGAAGAAGGTGAGACCGTCGATTATTACTACAAGATTATATTTGAAATAGAATAATAAGCAATTGAAGGAGCAACAAAAAACGATCGACGGGAATGCATACAAGTAATTCTTCTTCTTTAATATTCAACCCTAAAGCTGGTTCTATAGCATTCTTCCATACTTCCTCCACTCTTCTCTATTATTGGCCAGTCTTTTCAGTTCCCTTTAGGTTCTCAGAGTAGCATCTTTAATAATTGTATTGTTTATCATTGTTCTAGGATGTCTCTTGCCTTCTATTTGTCCTTTCAATATTCTGTGATTTAGTTCCTCTTCGTGTCATTAAGTATGTCAAATTAGTCTCCATCTTCTTTCTTAGATTGATCTTGATAATCCTCTTGGTTCACCTATTTCATTTAGTACGCTGTCATTGGTACGGAACTCCGTGCAGCTAACTCTTAACAACCTTCGCCAGCACTACATTTCGTAGCTACCTAAGTATCTTTCTTCTGCTTTGTTTATCAGCCAATACTCCGATCGTATACAGCCACGCTAACACTACTCGTTTTCTCATATGGATACTCATCTTCTTGGAGCTTAGTAATTTCTTGCGGTTCATAAATACGGTTTTGCCTGCGCTATCCATGGCTTTAATTTCATTAGTGCTCTTGCCATACTGGGTGATTAAACTGCCTAGGGTTTTATAGTTGTTTACTTGTTCTAAATTATTAAAGTTTTTTCCATTTTATCTTCAGGGTGTATTCTTCAAAACACATCTACATCTCTTCTAATGCAATCTCCATCTCTTTTTCGGTTTTGGTAACTAAAGCAATGTCGTCTGCGAGTCTAAGCTTTTGTTTAAGTTCTCCGTCGTTGACCGTCACTCCTATTTTTTGTCTATTGAGTTTTTCGTTTAATTCTTAGTTCGGACATTAAACATTGGTGACATGGGACACCTTTGTCTTGTACCTTTCCATATTTTTTCTTTTCCTGACTAGTTTTCCATTCTTATTTCTGCAGTTAATATGTAACACCTGTATTATATTTTTTGTTCACTGGTAGTAGCTAGTACATAATTCTATGTTAGCACTCATTGCTGATAGGTGGTATTCCTGTTATTTTTACTACATATTCAGTTTTAATAAATATAATTTTTTTTGTTTTTAGTGTCTGAGAATCTTGCATTGATAAATATGGAAAAGTTGAAGTTAAAAGCAATGGTCTATTGAATTCGCAAAAACAACAAACTCCAAAATACTTTTAGGTAAGGCTAAGTGTTCAATTTAATATATTAAATTATCAATGGTTTTTATCGTTAAACGAAAATACAATTTAGGCTATACATATATGCTAATTAAAGAGTTTTCTTAGAAACCGATTTGTCCATTAAAATTACATAAATGTTATATCAACATGCATTCCACAGACGATTAAAATTGACTAATCTGTAATTTGTGTACATTCAATACATTTACTTAGGTCATATTAGAATTTAAAATAATAATATAAAATTGTGAAAAGGATTAATTTTTTGAAAACGTTATAATTTATTGTTCGACAATGTTTTGTTGTAGTGACAATCGTTCGAGAAATGAAGTGAATAAAAAAACTGATGGTCCTTATTTTGAATCGAGGATTGAAACAGAAAATAATACAAAAACAGCAACAAACTCCAACAATGAAGATTTAACAAGCCGGCGGTTTTTTAAATGTAATTTATGTCAAAAAATATACACTAAAAAACAAATAACTTTACATATATTAAAATCCCACCAAATTTCAACGGATAAACACTGGCCCTAAAAACTTAACACTATACAACGCAATAAGTTTACTAAGACGTACGCGAACATCAGCCGACCCTATAACTGTAACGTCTGCCTTAAGCATTTTTCTGAAAGTTCTAACCTCCACAAGACACAAACGCGTACACACTGGGTAAAAGTTTTTCAAATGTGCTCTAAGTCATTTACTCAAAAACCCCACCTCACAAAACACTAATAAAGTTTATGTCATTTTGGAGAGAATGAAAAATTCCTTTTACTAAAAAGATTTCATAAACATTATAATTAGTTTTAACTGTATATTAAATTTGTTATTTTTTACTCAGTCGATAGTACTATCTTAAGAATATACTCCCTAAGTTTTGTACTAATATGACTACTTTCCAAAAAATTGTGGCTTAAGAATTATGTTATTGTATTCTTATACAACATTATAAAGCCAATAACTTCACGATTTTCCACAGAGCAAATATTGTTACCTCTTGATTTTGCTTGTTGCGATTTTTGTATCAAAAGTTTTTACGTTTTTTATAATAGCTGTAACTTATTTATTATTGATAAGGATTTTCATGAATATCACACATGTTGATAGTACAATTTATTTAACTCTGAACTTAGTAATTTAGTAGTAACTAGTAGGTAGTTTATATTATAAAATAATGATTTCTGTAGTTTGGTTGAATTGTATTAATATAATAACATTTTGTCACAAAACCTATAGTTTTCTATTAATATGAAATTTTATCAAGTACAAGTATAATGTAAAAAATGTCGGTATATTGGTTTTTGTAATTTGGACGCAAACCATTTTAACAAATTACCTAATTTTAAGCCTGCTAAATCAGGTTATGTTTGTCCCGCTTCAACACTTAAAGTCTTCGACATTTACATTAAACAACATTGGTGTCATGGGACACCCTTGTCTAGTGCCTTTCCATATTTTTGCTGTTGCTAATTGGTCTTCTATTCTTATTTCTGTAGTTAATATTTAACACCTGTATTATATATGTTAGTTGCTCATACCGGTTATTTTGTAAATACTAATTTTTGTTCACTGGTAGTAGCTAGTACATAAATCTATGTTAGCACTCATTGCAAATAGGCGGCATTCCTGTTATTTTTATTTAAATTTTTAGTTTTAATAAATCTATATATTTTTTATTTTTAGTGTTGAAGAATCTTACATTGATACTAAAGTTAAAGGCTAAGTTCAAAATAGTGGTTTTTTGTATTTACAAGTAACAAACTACAAAAATACTTTTAGGTAAGACTAATTATTCAATTTAAAATATTAAACTTAAATGGTTTGTCGTTAAACGGCAATTCAATATAAACTATATACATATGATAATAAAATATCTTCCTTAGAAACCGATTTTTCCATTAATGCATACATGTTATATCAACTAGCATTCCACAGACGATTCAAATTTACTAACCTGTAATTTGTTTACATTCAATACATTTACTTAGGTCAAATTAGCATTTATAATAATAATGTTCAATTGTGAAAAGGATTTATTTTTCAAAACGTTATAATTTATTGTTCAACTATGTTTTGTTGTAGTAACAATCGTACGAGAAATGAAGTGAATAAAAAAACTGATGGTCGTTATTTTGAATCGAGGATTGAAACAGAAAATAATACAAAATCAGCAACAAACTCCAACAATGAAGATATAACAAGCCGGCGGTTTTTTCAATGTAAATTATGTCAAAAAATATACCCTAAAAACAAATAACTTTACGTATATTAAAATCCCACCAAATTTCAACGGATAAACACTGTCCTCAAAAATTCAGCACTATACATCGCAATAAGTTTACTAAGACATACGTGAACATCAGCCGACCCTATAAATGTGACGTCTGCCTTAAGCACTTTTCTAAAAGTATGAATAGTCATACAAGTTCATATACCTAATTTATAGTAGAATTGCCTACTAAAATGTGGCAACTATTATTGTGATTGCTGTATAAATAATTACTATTTTTATTCTTATTACATCAAATATTTATTTTAATTCTAGTACTATTATATATGAAAACAATGTTAACTGTTGATATGTACTATCATTATTTTTATTATATTTATTGATAGGGTTTAAACTTTTGTATGATAAAATATGTGTTGTGTTGTCTTATTTATTACTTTAAGTTATGTAAATAGTTTAGAAAATAATGAAAGGTATGTAATATGAAAGGTAACCCATAACAATCGGGTAACATTGTATTATTATGTCAACTTGGTTGTACTAATTTATTATTTTTATTGTGAAAATTGGTTGTTGTTGCTATAAGGTGATTACCAAAATTGAATTATAACTTTGTCAAAACATTTTTTTTTTTTGAATGTACAGTAATAAAAAAAGCCAAGTTAAAGTATAGTTAGCTGTTCAATCAACAATATAATTTTTTAATAACCATACATTTTTCGGTGGCGATTTCATCACAATGTTCAGTTAATAAAAAAGCTATGTTAAAAATTAGTAACAACCATATTGATAATATTTAAAACGAAGAATAATTAACCTTATTACTAATGAACACCGTATTAAATGTTTACAACAATTTCAGTATTATATGTAATAATCCTTTCACATTTGATGTACTTTTAACAATTTGATTCCTGGATTAAAGCAGAAACTTCTCATTATATTCTTTGCTGACTTTTCGGTATTTCTAGCGTTTTTTCGATTTGTTTTAATATAATAACGGACTTAAGATATCCATTAGCTATGTTGGAACACTTTGTTTTTTCCTTTGTTAGGCTAGAATATCCATAACATATTTTACAATAACGTTAAGTGATTATATCCGTATTAACGCATTCCCTACCAATAACATTGGAAAAAAAATTCCTTTTAAAAATTCTTCTCCCCTCGTTTCCTATACTTTTAAATCTTTGCACTTATTTGTAAAACAAAAGAATTCGTCTTAAAAAAATTGTTTTATATATTAATATATTTTATATATAATATATACACATATACACATTCCAAGATGGGCATTTTTTATTTAAGTTAAAAGTGAACTTGATGATTAAACATTTTAGACAACACATAAAATTTCCTTATTAATCATGATTGGTTCTATCATACAATAACAAATAAAATTAATCATGAGCACATATTTCAACTTTTAAGTACGAATAAATTAGTCATTATTGAAAAATGTAATCATGGATAATAATTAAATTAATTATGATTGAAAAAGTTAATCGCAGGCAATAGTTAAAATGGTCATGACTCATAGGTAAATTAAATTAACCACATAATAGTTATTTCAATCATTATTCGTAGCCAAAGATTAGTAGGTAAAATTTGTATAATAGTTTTGGAAATTTTGTTTAAATTAAAGTGTGAAACACAGTATTTGTTAAATACACATCAGCTATATACAGAGTGTCCTACAAAGGTAAGAGAAATGAAATAACTTTTGTGCTAATGAATATTTTCAAGGTTTTTTTAAAAAAATAATTTATACTAATTTTCGCTATAATACCACCACGTTTTTTATTGCACTTAAATGTTTTACTTTTTTAAATAATTTGTTTATTTTTAAAAAAACTGGTCTATAACCAGTTTTGGATTATTACTTTTTAAGTTATTAAAGGTTAAAGTGTAGGATGGGAGGTGGAGTAAGGTAGAGTAATGCGTGCTGATAAAAATAACTATCTAAAGTGATTTTTAGTTTTTCACACATTATTATATTTTACAATATCTGTTACTGAATTATTAAATATTCAACCGTACTCCACTTTTTTTACATCAAACGTTTTATAGAAAAATGATTATTCAAATAATTTCACTGGTAAACTTACCCAAGTTAAGTTAGGAGTTCTTGATTTTGTTTTCACTGTTGTTAAACTATTTTCCTTTAAAACGAATGAAGTAAGATTTAAACCATATGAGAGAAACAACAACAAAATATTCGCCTACATAGTTTAGCTAATTTACAATGTAGCCTGAAATACTGTTATGAAATGTTCTATTAATAAAAGATTAGATGTTGGCGATTGCATTTCAATGGACATTTTTTGTTCGTATGTTATTGTATTGAAATTATTTAATAATAAAACGTCCGACAAGATTGTCAGTCGACCGTTTCGAGAAAATTTCAGATTTTTTTCATTTTTTGTTTTCCTAACCTAACCTAACCTTTATGCCAAATTTCATCTTTACAAGTGTCTTATAATTTTGACGAGCAGTGAGTGAGTCAGTTACAAAAATGCACATTTTGCAAAGTTCTCTCCTTTTGAAAAGACTCGATATTAAGGGCTCGTCATTTTTACAGCGACCTAAGCTCCTTTAGGCTTAATCTGTGTTTGAAATTTCAAAAGCCCATCATAACGAGAAGCATAGGGATATATTATGAGAGTCAGAAAAACCGGGGAAATTGGTTCGTGTAAAGGTACACTGGCATTGCGCCGAAACTTGGCCTGCTCAGATCAGCTGTGCCATTACAATATATATATATATATATATATATATAATAGATTGCCATCGTACTATCGATTAGTCCCGGCAGCGCAACTGGCGGATGCTTCGAAGAAAGTTTGGCTTCTTTATGATAAACGATAGCGCAGTTCGGCGTCCTTACTGTAATAATATTATTACAACGTTCGCGTGCACAAACCACATTAATGTTATTTTTAAAAAATTGAAATCATAATATAAGAATTCATTTGTTATTTGTAATATCGCGGCGGCCGCATACGACGCATTTTAAGATACTCGTGAAGTTAATATTTAACTGATATGTTTTCATAATCTATTGAAGTTTGTTGTTTTCTCTTTTTTTTTTTTTTGTAAATCACTCGTCTTAGCCATGGATAACACGAGGCCACAAGCGGGTTTTACTGAAAGATTTCGCCAAATGAACGAAATGCGCAAGTATGCACAATGCTGTACTTACCTAACGCCTAGCTGCTTTTGTTTATAAACGATTTTGTTTTGTGTATGGTTGTATTATATTATTTTTTTTTCATCGCGCACACTTTGTTCAATTTTAGTAGTTCTGCCTTGTAATGTATAACAATATTAACGTTAGGTTTATTATTGTTTTAGGAACAAGAAATTATTGGATTTCGCATTGGTTAACAATAACGGTGAACAAGTATGGGGTCATTGGCTCGTGATGGCTTCAATGAGCCCTTTAATTGAAGAAATTGCTATGTCGAATGGCGAAAGAAGATTGCTTTTAAAAAATATAAGCGCTGAATCGCTGGAACATATAGTTAATTACATGTATACCATTGAAGTAAACTTAACCCGTGATAATGTTGATGTAAATTACTTGTTTGTTAATTTTTTTTTTTTTTTTGTCGTTCAAGAATTTTAATTAATTTATAATATTATTTTAGAATATTTTAGCTGGAGCTTCTCAACTGAGGATGAGATACTTACAAGAAGCGTGTTTGGATTTTTTGGAAAATAATTAAAATAGATTTAGTCTATTCTCATCTCATGCTGTTTTAGCCCACGTCTTTTCCCGGTATCGCACATAATTATTTAACTAACTTACTTTAATTTTTCCTTTAATATAAGCTAAGTTTTTTATGAGATAGTTATTATAGATAGCTTATTGCATACCTAGATGATAGGTGTTAGTATATTGTAAATGTAATTAAAGTATGTGATTATTCACTTGCACTTAAGTACATATTTTTCATGTGTTTGCCAATTGGTATTTAGTGTTTACATAATAGACATTATAGATTATTAGATTAAAACACATTTGTTAGCTTCAGTGTAGAGCTGAGAAGTTTTTATTTTTATTTTTTGTATCCGAAGCAACAATATCTTCTAAGTCACCCAGCCGATTTTTTATTGAGTTACTGTTGCAAAATCACCATTTTCTTAAATGATTAATTCATTAATAACATCGAAAATTTAATTTTAATTCTTTGATCTAACACTCTATTGAAAATCGTACAATAATAGTTATACTCTAAGTCACGTTCACACTGACGCCCAAAATGTATTAATTCCTTAATAGCATTTGTTGTATTATACATTTTTTTTTAAATATTGTATACAGTATACCATAGTTATATTAAATGTGTATATGCATATATTTATTTAATTTTAATAAGTCGGCTGTGTATTATTTTATTCAAAGATTAGGTGAATATTTAACAAATAAAATAAAATATGAATTGTATTTTAAATTGTGCCATGTAAGCTAAATAATGTGTTTATATCTTAGAAAAAAAAATGTGTGCATAATTTTAATCAGTTGACGTGAAATATTTGGACTTTGCCTAAGTTTGAAGATACATTTGTCAAGTTATTTAATTAAAATAATTAAAATAATGAATTATTATCTGATTTATTTGAATAAGCTGTAATGTGTTTCTAAATATAATATGGTAATATGTCAAACACTTAAACATTTTGTATTCTTTTGATTTTTTATTAATAATTTGAACTCTAAACCCGATAGCCTAAAAAACCTATTGCATCATGTCTGTTAGCCATATCACAAATATACATTTTGATAATTTAATATTTATTTAAAAGTATTTAGAGAAACTTAAAATTATTGAAATAATTAGTCACATATGTTATACTTATTAAGTTATTCGTATTAAACAATAACAATAAAACGAATATTTAAAAAAAAAAATCATATTATATTACCTATACTATCATATAAGCATGTATTATTGAACACACTCTACCGGCACAAATACTATTAATTTACTGCTGTATAATTTAATTTTTAATCCACCATAGCGTGATCTCTTAGAAATCATGACCGTGTAATTAAGAAAGTAATTGTACAAATAAAAGCGTTATAAAGTCAGTTTAAGTTTCTCAGTCCTCTTTTGGCGAGCTGATATACAGGTAATGCTATAGACATGTAAACATTTAGTGATAAAATTAAAAAAAATGATATATATTATAAATTATAAAACAAAAGTATAAGTCTACAGAAATATCATAATCTAGTAAATCAAGACTAAAGACTTTTGAGAAATTGTACATGTTATAGCCCAATTCTAGATCTATATGCGATATAATTTTCAGACCTTAAGCTCTAAACCTTCGTCTAATAATAACCAAATAAAGAAATAGTTTTCTCGTCTTCTGGGGGAAGGATTTATGATGTATTTTTGGTTTGTCAACGTTTATCTATAGTAGTATGTCTAAAGAATATGTCATTTAAAAATAAACATTTCATACTTAAAAAAAAATTTATTGAAATATACAAAATATTGACACATAAACACATTGAGTTCTTGTATATAGTGTAATAAATGTTTCATCTTTGAGTGTTGTTCAAGCCTCAAGGTAGTCGTAGAAATAATAAAAGTTTATTTTATTTTAGTCAGTTTTGATTTAACTTATACATTTTTTATTTAGTCTGTTAATTTGCTGTTCTACTTTGATAAGGGTCTAGTCTTTATATAACTATAGCGAGTAGCTCGAATCAAACGCCTTGTAAAATAAAACAATACACATTTTAAAAATTTAGGGAAGCGAACTCAAAATAAATATCTTTAAAATGCATACCTGCTATTTTTCATAAATAAAAACATTTATAAGAATTTATGACAACCAACACAAATACTTAATGCAGTAAATATTTGTTTTCCAAATAAAATACGATTATCTGGATTGGGTTAACATGGGAAATTATATTTAATGCCCCTACACTTTTCACTATGTGCTGTTCTGTTCAAGGCACTCGCGTTTGAATATATTTATTGTTCAATTGTTTTCTATTGCACATCATAATATTCTCACAGTAATAGTACATTACATAATAGTTATTTCAATCATTATCCCTGTGGTATACAAAACTAGATGAAGTTTAAATAATATAAATCCATAATCCATCCATACACATACTTCTAAAGAGCCTCTATATAAGTATAACTTGATAATTTTATTTTTTAAAAGAATTAAAAAAAGAAATCTTTACTGTTGTATAAAAATTTTACTAAATTTTAAATTTTAAAATAAATTCTTGTGAGTAAGGTGTGCAGGGAATACCGGAACTAGAGGATATTGTGGTCGGTGGTTTAAATGAATGGTCATTTAGGGTGTGATAGGACAGGGTATGAAAGAGGAAATTTCGGAGAGGGGGGGCGGGGTCTGTTACCGGTCTTCGGAAATTATCATTGTTATAACTAAAGTGATCAAATAACTAAAAAAAAAACCCTTTGGAAGACGATACGTTTAGGATTAATGGCCTGTCTACAATTGGATTTTAAAAGCCTACTCTAAATCTAGCTTCAGTCAAATTTTCAGACTTCGGTCACATATTTAGAAATGTTAACAAAAACATGTTTAGTACTCTTTCTGAACAAATTAGTTTTTGATATTAATTTTATTTGTCAATGTATACCTATCGGTATAGTAATAGTACAGAGTTCAGCTATAGAGCTTAAAGAATCATCCATACAAATTTGTCAGTACAGTATTTTTCAAGTCGTAGTATGCCATTATTATAGGTTGAAAAATATTTAATATTTTGAAGGGTTTTTTTTCCGAATTTGAAGGGAAAGGGGTGAACTTTTTTAAATTGTTGATCTAATATACTCCGACAATGTTTTGTATGCGGCTTTCGCAGCCAAAGATTAGTAGGTAACATTTGTACAATGATCTTGGATATTTTGTTTGTATTTAAGTATGAACCATAGTATTTGTAAAGATAAGACAAATGAAATAACTTTTGTCCTAATAAATATTTTTAGGGTTTTTTTTAAAAATTAATTTTTACTCATTTTCGCTATAACACCACGTTTTTTTATTGCGCTTAACCATTTTAATTTTTTAAATAATTTGTTTATTTAAAAAAAAAATTCAAGATAGCCATTTTATTGAGAATAATTTGCTGATTATTTTGACTGGTCCATAACCAGTTTTAAATTATTACTTTTTAAGTTATTAAAGGCTTAAGTGTAGGATGGGAGGTGGAGTGTGGTAGAGTAATGTGTTTTTCACACATTATTATATTTTACAATATCTTTTACTGAATTATTATAATTCAATCGTACTTCGCTTTTTTTACATCAAACGTTTTATAGAAAAATGATCTTATTTAAATAATTTTCATCTTAGGGTTTATATTTTGGATGTTTTATTATTTGTATTAGGTTTCTTTCATATAATTTCACTAGTGAACTTACCCAATTTTGTTAGGAATTGTAGATTTTATTTTCACTGTTGTTAAACTCTTTTTTTTTTTTTTTTTAACGAATGAAGCAAGATTTAAACCATATGAAAGAAACAACAACAAAATATTCGCCTACATAGTTTAGCTAATTTACAATGTAGCCTCAAAACGTATTACCTATACCAACTGTTTTGAAATTTTCTATTAATAAAAGATTAGATGTTGGACGATATATATTGAATACATTTCAATAGACATTTTTGTTCGTATGTTATTGTATTGAAATTATTTATTAATAAAACGTCCGACAAGATGTCAGTCCAGTCAGTCGATCGTTTCGAGAAAACTTGCAAATTTCAGATTTTTTTTTCTTTTTTTTTACCTAACCTAACCTAACCTTTATGGCAAATTTCATCTTTACAAGAATAGTCTTATAATTTTGATGAGCAGTAAGTGAGTCAGTTTCAAAAATGCACACTTTTGAAAATTTCTCCCCTCAGGATGTATTAGGTAATTTGTCAATAATTATAAAATATATGTTATCGAACATGTCAAAGGTCATTATTATTTGTATAGGTTTTATTGAAAAGTTTTTAACAGTTATTAGATAACGTTATTTTTTTTTAAATATAAAGCTAATAGAAAAAAATGTATTAAATACTCTATTATTTGTAATATATTTTAATTTCTTATCTGTTTTAGATTTTATTATAAAACCTGCATAATATTATAGATGGTACTTTTGTAAATTTTTCTTAGTATGCAATATAGAGCATAAACATATATATTTTTATCGACGCGTAGGTCTGAATTGTAAATTTATTCATTTGCTGTTAGAATGAAACCGTTTTTGTGTTTTCTGCTGTTGTTTCCATTGTAAGTGTTCTTATTTGTACACATGTTTCGAATACGAAAATATTACACTAAAACCAATTTTTTTTTGGCAGTATTTTTTGTGCTCGGGAAAGATTTTTCTGTCAGGAATAATATGAAACCAATTTTACATGTATTCGATGTACACTATACTAAAGTATACTTTAGTTACACATACCTTAAGTGTAATTTTAATTGAAAGAACTACGGTTAATAAAACAAATAAAGACAGTTTTCCCATCACTTTTAGGAAAAGAGATTAATAAATTCCACTATTTTTCAAAACAAACATACTTAATTTAATAGTGAATTCAATATTAAATACGTCCGCACTTAATTATCAAATACAGATATAAAAAATACGTATACAAATGTATTTTAATGAGCTATCATTGTGAGATCGAGGCTTATTAAGGTGGGGGGAGATCACAAGACTTTTAGAATCATTGTAACTAAATATCATAAATCACTATTAAATATAGCTAATCT